TGAGGGGTCAGGAGGAGCTAGAGGAAATTTTTGAACTATTACAAAGTGACGTACACACGTATAATAATCATAACCATGATGCGTCTTCCTGTGGAACTTGAATTAACCTCAAGTGGGGCGGGGGTTAAGTAAAATTTCGGAGCACAATGCAGACTTCTTGGTTGAGAATGTAGATGCCAGTAGCCAGTAATCAGTACCGAGTATCATGCGTTACAGGGTGTTGGCTCTTATCTCTTAATCTCTCATTTTCTGGTAAACAAAGTTTTCAGCCGGTTGGATTTCCGCGATTATATAATTCTTCCTTAAAGTTGCCAGCTGCTGGGCGGTTTCTCGGTCTTAGCTGGATGGCTCCTCTAGGAGCCTCGCAGAGGGTCATTTACTATATACATCCCTCTCGTTACTCGAATACAAGGCGCGAATTAACGCGCCGTTAAGTTAGCCACGCGGCTAGCGCCACGGCGCTCTTGAACAAATATAATTCGCCCTACGCTCCAATTTCCAACCCTCAAACCCCATTGTGGCTGGGTATAAACGTGGAAGGGCGATTTTATGTTTTAACAGCAGTTACACCGATAATGGCCTACGGCTCTTTTGACGAAACTCTGTAGGCATTCCCAGGGACGGTCTTGGAAGTGAATAAAGTAAATACGAAGTACCACAGGCTCGCGTTAATTGGCCACCGGCGACCGTGCTAATGAAAAGCACATACCTGGTCGAATCGAAATGACGAACCATGGGAACTATGGGTTTCCTATACCATGCGAGAATTTGCCTCGTATGGCAGGAGAAAGGTACGTCTGTCTTTGATAAGGAAAAACTTTTTTCGTCATTTTTTCTGTATCTCCGCGTTGAAATTGAAGGGGGGAGAAAAAGAGAGACGGTATCGAATGACGCAATTTTTCTCATTTATCACCAGAAAAACAAACTGCCTCGTCAACCGTCGAGTAGGACTTTTGTATATGCGTATACAGTAAAGTCGTATCACGTTCGAATAAAATTTTTCAAAAATTTTTTTTTCTTCTCTCATCTTTCAAAGAAATTCTGAACTCTGGTCCCTTTTCACCGTTTAATATTTTCTAGGGATATTTATCAGGGCAGTGTCACTATGTCATTCATCATATACTGTACTTGTATGGCATATGTACGTACATGGTATCATACCAAGCAAGATCGCAATGTAATAACAATTATAGAGCGATACGGGGGATATACCGGGTGGTACAGTGTGTAAAGTGCCAGGCGAAAGAGGTCTTGGAAAGTTTAACCAAGCGTTTCTCAGTCGGTAACAAGGCACCCAAGCATCGTCAGCCATTGAGCCATGGGGTCTGCTCGAGCGTAAGGACGATCCACCCCTATCTTTTTTCTTTTTCGATATTTCAATAAACTCGATAACATACAGGCTTACAGTTGATACACACAGAAGCAACGGAGGGAGACTGGATAAATATATAAGCCACAGTATCGAACAGTAACGGTGAACCTCGTTAAAAAGTATGACTGTACGTAACCTACGTATCCGTGTATATCAAAGTGCATATGTGCACCTTGTGAACTATGAATTGAATTGTCAACGGGTTTAACTAATCGTAAGTCTTATGACGAATGGGTTTGCATTGAAGTTTCATCCGTTCGCTAAGTTTCTCGCTGGCTGGTAAGCAGGGTTATAATATATAAATTCATGAATCTCGACTTCAGCGCCATCCTTCTAAACTTTACTCTCGCGGTATACCAACCCCTTGATACATTACTCCCTTCCTCCATTCTTGTATTCCACTATCCACTAGGATATCTTACAACGCATCCTGTCAGCTGTGGTTTACACCAAGTTTCTCATCTTGTTATTCGAGCAGCGGCTCCCTGGGCAGTCGCGTCTGCCCTAATCTCGTCTAGGGAAAATTCAGGATCTTCGTGATACACGTATACCGGGTATCCGCGCAATAATCCATTTCGAGTATTTGCCGTTTACGTTTACCTATCGCTTAATGGTGCCTGTAGGGAAAAATATGAATTTCAGTTTCTGGGGGAAAAAAATAAAGAATTTGTATCACATTCCTGAATTACACGACAAATGAAAATTATGGGAATGACTTGAATAACGACGAAAATTCGTTGTTTTACTTAATATGCCAATCAATGTGTTTCTGGATTTTTATAACAGACTGTGGTGTTAACATGCTATACAGAAGTTTCACTTCATGTGTATAGATTTTATTCGATATCTACCATTGTTATAATGCTGATATTATCGTGTAAAATATTTATGTACATATACAATATTTAAGCTAAACTACAAAGTGTCTTTTTCGAGGGACGATATCATAGGGAATTTATTGTAGGATCTTTATTCCCTAGCAAACAGCCTGTCCACGCGTTATGGCTGATATTTAATATTTCACGAATATATATGATCACCGAGTGCCTCGTAAACTGTCGTCAGGTCAGCCTCGTGTTTTATAGATACGCCTTACGTAACTTTGTTCGTATACAAGAGTGAGGTTTAATAGTGTCCTGAGAGGAGAGGACTAAAATGACTTGCGAATATAAAAATAATTGGAGGTTAGTTTGGCCATATATAGTTTTGGGTTAGAATGAAAAGAAAAAAAAAAAAAATAGCAACGAGAATCGAGTCGCGTAGTAATACGATAAAATCTTAAAAAAGGCGAAGCTTGAAATTGCGTCTGGATTGTAAAAGGTTAATTTAGAATTTGTATATTGATTAATAAAAGTAATGGAAATAATTTAATCAGGCTGTTCGTTACCAACGTAATAATAATTATCGCGTTCGTAACAGCCGAATGGGATAACCCTGACTTTTATTACGAGCCCCGCTAATTGGATGCGGGAAACGGCCGATTCCGAAAGGTATATATACAGGGTATGGTAATTCAGGAAGAAAATTCTTGTTAAATTTCTAACCATGAATATCGACTCTTCCTCAAGATAAAAGTCCGGCGGGAAGTTCATTCTCTTGAGAAAAAGACCGAGGGATCTTTCATATTCGATTTTCAAGGGGTGCAATCCGTATATCCAATCTGGTATCTATTCCAGGGTTAATCCTGACCGCACCTTTTTATTTGCTCGTTCCCATATCTTTTTTTATAGGGAGTGTACATATGGCCTCTGTTTCTCGGAAGCTTATCGATACGGTATTTATTTAGTTAATTTATCAGGATCCCCCATAGTGCAGCTACGGTTCGTTCGATTTATTTTCTACTTCGACAGCTGGAAACTTCTAAGCTTGTCTCTTACCGCGATCCTCTAGTCATGCGGTGTTACTATACAGTTACTCCTTTCCGTTCTATTATCGTACCTAGGAGGAGGGTGCCTTGGGATAGTTAGCGCAAGGGTAACGCCATTGTACGCGTACACCTTTCAATAGGTTACCTTACGTATAATTATGGGAAAGGCAGATAGAGGAATTCTTGGATTTCTGCTACAGTGATTTCCTATGCATCACGAGGTCGCCATGTTGAGACCTTGATAAATTACTAGGATTACATCGTATTTGATTTTCTCGTTGCGATTCACTGGGTATGGGGTTACTTTAATTGGGCTGATTAATGAATATATTAATTATAACGAAAAAGTAATCTCCTAGGGACTGTGAAATTTGACAATTTCTCAACCGGAAACCTCGATATGACGTCGTTGTTGCCTTGTCCACTCTTTCAATATGTCCCATCGGTTCTCTGTATTGAGATACTTCCGGGAATACCAAGTTCATCGTTGTTCTGGAATCCTTAGACCTTTTGGTATTCGTCCTCAATCGAAAATTGGATCGCGATTATTAAAACCCACGGGAGATATTAACTCTTTAACACCCTGCATGGTATCCCAAAGGGGTCGTTAATTACGTTGACTTGTCAAACTCCTCAGGTACAGAATTACGAAATTCATGCGTATTATTAATATTCAATGGTGTATATACGATAAAATTAATTTATTGTGCTATAAAGCCGATTACGATTATATATTATTGTTGATATATTATATCAACGATTTTCATATACGGAGGCAAATAAGAGTATTGAAGTTGGGCTAATATACGTTTTAAGCCGACGGGCGGCTAACTTCAAATTGTACGATAGATACGAATAACGTATAAAATTACCGACCGGGCCGAGATTACGGTGAAACTTAGGAAAGTCGATAAAACAGTGACAGTCGAGTAGACTTTAAAGTTTGTCCTGGACAAGTTTATCCCCCCGGTAAGACATCTAATAGAAAGCATACAGAATCGGATATTGGGAAACGTGAAAAAGTGGTGTAGGACATCTGGCGGTAAAAAGACGAATCGACACGGACGGGAAGTTAGCGAAAGAGCTCGTCCGACGTATAGTGCATCGAGCCACGAGCTTCCGTTGCGAATTAGCGGAAGGACTCACGATTAGCAGCAGCGTCTACCTTTTGGCTCTTAGGTTAGCCAACTTTTCGGGGACAAGAGAGGAGAAAGAGGGGCGTCTACTATCTGCCAAGAGAATTCGATAACTCATTGTGACGCGCCAATCGAAATTGGAGTAACGGGAAGTCGGGTGAGCCCGAGGGAAGGAGAAAAGCAGAAAACGGAACACGAGTACTATCTGATAAAACTCTACGAGAATTTCATCTTTATTTTTCTTTGTCGTCCAATGAAATCTGACAGTAGCCGGCTCGGAGGTTATTGCGGCCAGGTAAAGTCAGTGTCTTCAAATATATCAGGTCCGATGATATTTTATGCTTGACGACGTGTGGTAAATATCCTTTGGGAAATCTCTATATGAAATCCGTCAAGGCCTAAGTCTCATATACATATCATATACATATAATATATATATATATATATTTATATATATTATTGTTTACAAAATTTAAAGCATACACTTGTACGGTTTGCGGTACTGTCTCTGTATGTTTTCAGCTTTACCCAATCCTTATTCCCCCCTTACCTGTCATCTCATTTCGCCCGAACGGTAGATTCGCACGATCCTCGGATTTGAGCTGTGCCTGTTTGTTGTTTGCAGCCGGAAAACTTTATAGCTTCGTACGAGCCTCATGGTTATTGCGTCGTATATTCGACGACTGACGAAACATCCGTCACGGTTGCCGAAATTGCCCTGAAGACACTCTGGAACAGCGACTACGTATCTACCAGAGCCGTAATTCTCGTTGGGAACAAGGTCGACCTCGTCAGAAGTCGATCTGTCTCGATCGAAGGTAAATCTTCATTGAAAATTCCTAAATAACGTAAAATCCGGGATATCGATGTAGCAACTTTCAAAAAAAAAAAAAAATTGCACAAACAATTATTTCGAAAAATAGCTCCCGATTTTTTCTCGAATCGTTCGATCCTGAATACCTAAAAAAAATTACCCTGATCAACTCAGCCTCTTTTGGCACTCGAGCCTCGATCACTGAGACACGGCAATATTTCACGCAAGAAAGCTTTCGTGTAATTTATTTGAAAACTCTTAAAGTTTTTTAATGACTTCAATTCGACCAATAAATAAATGTCATTTACGCGATCATTTATCATGATGCGCACTCCTGTGCTAAAATATGTATACATAAGTATATACATATATACAGTGTGTCCCTATAATTCGAATAAAGTCTTCCTACGTATACTCATACGAGTACACCAAGGGTCTAACCGACCGGTAGAGTAATTGAATCGAAAAATGAAAAGGGCCCTGCGTGACCCCCACCTGTTGCAGAGGGCAAGTCAATGGCGACCTTATACAACTGCAAGTTCATCGAGACCTCAGTGGGCATCAATCACAACGTGGACGAACTCCTAGTGGGACTGTTGACTCAGATACGGCTAAAGTTTGAGAATTCCGACAGGACACGTGACACTTCGCGTAAGAGATCGCGAAAGAATTGCAACCGATCTCCGCAGGGTTCCTGCTCGGAGAACAACTCGCCGAAAAAGTATCGCGGAAAAGGAACAAGTGCGAGCTTAAGGGTTAGAAGCTTACTGGACAAGGTATGGACGCGCGACAGTAAGTCGAAGAGCTGCGAAAACTTGCACGTCCTGTAAAATCTGAAGACTGAGAGGGACAAGACCGAAATATGTACTGCGGAGCGACGTGAAGTTAGCTCCGATAGTTTCCATTAGAATTTCCAGAATGTTCTCGCGCAATGCGTTATCGAATTTTCTGATTACGTGAATCCTGGATTTTGGACGTAACAAATTGTACTTTTGTCCGGACAACATTTTCAGAATCATCCCGACGGGGGGGTTCGATGAGTCTGGGGAATTTCTAGGGAAATTTTTCATATGCTTTTCTGACAATGAGATATTTCAATGACGTCATCACTCGTTGTCGACGTTTTACCGCGCGGATGATATTCACGAATATTCGTGACTGACGTCACGCCTCGAGAACTATCACGAGAGGACCATGACGATGAGGATGGCCGATCGAGCTTCTTTGCTAGGAAGGACAATACGAAGAGGTCATGATAAGCCAAAACGTTGAGAGAGACGCTTAATTCGATTAATAAAACGTTACGAAAGCAAGGTAACAAAGAATGTGAAAAAAAATGAGCGATTTAGGATTATACTATTTAAAACGTGACGAAACATCTGTCAGTTGCGTAGCTGTGATCGGAGATTGAGAAAAGTGAGATTAGCACAGCCGCTGCACAAAAATCATTCCCGCCGTATTTTTTAATCCGAAATAAGAGAGAGAGAGAGAGAGAGAGAGAGAGAGAGAGAGAGAGAGAGAGAGAGAGAGAGAAAGAGAGTAACCCATTTTGAATACGCTTCGATTATAGGTGACCCTATGTTAATTGTCATCGAGATGGACGAAGCGGACCTGAAATTTCTGTAAAAAAATACAAAACGTTCGTATAATTATCTGCGAATTGTTATTTACTATTGCAAACAATCTCGCACCTAATTATAACGCGTATAACGAATATTCGGTACCGCTCGTCTTGTCACGACTTATATTATTATACATATATATTATTGTATATCCTTAGAAAAAAAAAGAAAAACTTTTACAATTCCAGCGTCCACGAGCGCGTGTGAATTTACACGATTTTTTACATTACAAATTTTTGTACGTCGCGAGGAACGGAGTAAATAATGTATAATCGATAAATATTTGTTACGAATAAGAGAACAAGGGATTGTAAACGGGTCTTTATCTGTTCGACGGTTTATGCTGCTGCTGCTGCTGCTGCTGCTGTCCCGTATCAAAGTGTTAGAAATTCTAATCGATCGAAGTCAAACACGAGTTTGAGAAAATTGTATACTTCGCGCCTGACGAGTCTCGCAGAGCTTTGTCTTACAATTAAAGATAGAGATACGTCACGTGGATTCGTGAATAGAGCAAGGGAAATTGGGGGGGGGGGTTGACTACGGGTTTGAAATTTGAAAATGAGAATCCAAAAAAAAAAGCAATTTTAGATGAATATTCAAATACACTTAAATAACGGTTAGGTACATCGTACTCGACGCGTGCACGAGGTCCACTAGAGCGTAAGGTTAAAATCCGTTGAACGATGCGAAGCCATTTTAATATTTTATTAGAAAATAAATTATTGATATTTCGAATACGCCTGTCGCAAACGATTCATACGTGCGCGAACGTATATCAGTGCTACGTGCGTATGCACCAAGCATACCTATGCGAGTATACATATATACAGATATACGCAGGTATCACCTGTGCACTTTGTCGTAATAATTCTACACAAAGAAAATAGGTACAAAGTACAGCCAGGGCTTTTCGATCCGCTATAGTATGGTTTATTATTATCATTATCGTCATTATATTAAATATTAACTTCACCGCTATTATATTTACGAGTAATCGTATCCGTCGCGTAGACTCGGGTCATTTCGGGCTCTCGAGATCCGTCGGAGCGAAAATCGTACTGGCGATGGAAATACACGGGAGTTATATTGTCTGTTATACACTGAGTCGAACGAAAGTGAAGACAAATGGAAGGAAAAGAATGATTGGCGATATCGCGTCGCCGACATAGAAATTGCCTTTTACGCGTGTTCTTCGGTACGTGATCGATGGCGTGTAGTGTTGTCAGTGCCCTTATGGCGGATCCTTCAGATTCCACGAGAGAAGACTAACCGATAGGGGGACAAAAAAAAATGTATATTTCGCAATCTAATCGTTAGCTTGTAATCGCCGTGTTTCGTTTTAACGTACAAAATGGCCGGTGGCTCAAGTCGGCCCTTTCGGTTTTTCTTTTTTGACAATGGTGGTGATACTTATTTTTTCTTCAATACTTTTGGTACAGCTTGCCAATCCACTTTCTGCGTCTCTTTTAGGACGAATTCTCAGTGATGCGGGTTCATCCAATTTACTTTTTTTTTTATTATCTTTTTCTTTGGTGGGGCATCATACGGCACGGGACGTACGGCCATTCCGCGAGACTTGCCGCGGGGGTAACCGATGCGCGCACAAAGTGAACGTCCAAGCGTGAAAACTAGTATAACAACGAAGGGGTAAAGGCCCGGGTCGAATTATCGGGCGCGTTCAGTGTGCACCCACCTTTATGGCCATGAATGCCATCTATCGATGTAACCGAAAACACACGACCATCCCATTGAAGGGGATAAATCAGCGCGCCCGTAAGAGACATTGGAACTGGTTACCTCGAATCCAGGATCGATGTGGAAAAAGTGCGCGGGCTTGATAATTTTTTTTTCTTTTTTTCAAAAAAATAGCATTTTTTGGAAACGTCAAAAAAATTTGAAAATAAATTTAAAAATATTGTACGTTGCATTCGTGACATCTAACGGTCTTTTTTGTCGGCTGACTCGGAGAGTTAACACTTTAAGACTCCCCGGAGAGCTTTTGCCGCTCTTGACTTTTTCTTTATGATTCCTATTACGCCCTCTTTTTCCATCGCCGAGAAACACGGTTTTATTATATCTTAAACAGAAGGAAAAAAAAAAAAAAAACATTACTCGTAATAAGTAAGCGGACAATTTTTCGACCGCGTTCGTGTTTTTTTTTTTTTTTCATATTTTCTTATATCCTCCAAAGTGCTGATGCTAAATAAAAAATAAATGCTTTGACCAAATTATCGTCGAGTAGTGCCGGACAGCAACGATAAAGGACAGCTGTTAACACGCGATTAATTCTTTAGCGATATACATGCGTTATGTATATAGCGAATATAATCCTAATACGATTGTCGTAATTGTACGAAAGGATAATCTATATGGGAATTCAAGTAATTCACGGTACGTTATCCCGTTAGTTAATGGTGAGTGGATCAAGTATATATTATGCTAAAAGTTTCGAAGGCCGACAAGGTATAACGAGCGTATTACTCACTTTTTTCGTTATTTAATAATAAAACGATGAAGCCCAATTTTCGACACGATCTTTTCCTCAAATGTTTTACGGTTCTTGATATATATGTATATATATTCAATTTTGATATAACGAAAAAGATCGGACGTCAATGGGTCCATTCTGAAAACTATAAACTTACTTTTCAACGTACTCGACGTGTCTTCTGATTAAAAAAGAATGATCCTCGTGTATCAAGGTAATTGTTATTATTGGATTTAAAAAAAAATACTTTTGCAAAATCCACATTGACAGTGACTACGCATAATTCCATTCGTCGAGGATTCTTCGTAAAACAATGCAGGAAACGCTTTGAAGCTGTAAGGTTCGAATGAACAATTAAATTTATGGTATGATGAATGAAGTAAATTAATTTTAAAAAATAAGAACAGGAAACTATAGTATGTTGCCTTTTGGAATATCCAGGGAAAACGTGATAATTCGACTAACGCGAATACCTAGAGCGAATCGTTAGGCCATCATGGAGATATCACATAGTAGTATGTATAACTATTAATAGTTAAAGATAAGTCGTGAAAGTTTTGCGAGTTTTCAAAATTTTCAAAGAGAAAAAGGTGGGAGGAGAGGGGGGGGAGAGAGAGAGAGAGAGAGAGAGAGAGAGAGAGAGAGAGAGAGAGAGGAAGAGAGGGAGAAAATGTGTGTGCCAGAGACTTTTAAACAAAGTATCTCGAGATAAGCTGCTCTGTATGCTCTCTAGACAGTTTGAATTAATTAGTTGAATAATTAATTATCCCACGAGTTCATTAACAATTCTAGAAACCAACTCCGCCAACTATCCCAAGGCCGATTCAAAATTACGTATACGATCGATGCTCGTGTATATAAAAAAATATATGAACTGATATCATCATTGGGATACCGTGACGGAGAGTCATGTAAATTTTTCCCTTGAACAAGCAAAAAAAACAATCGTCCCTTTGTACAAAATTTTTCATAATTTTCTTTTTTTACCGGACTTGTCCTATACATATTTTTTTTAAACCACGTGGCTCGTGATTACATCTACGGGTGCTTTCAAGAACGATCGGACATACAGCCAGACCCGTAACTTACTAAGAATCGTAAAATTATACGAAAAAAAAAAAATATTGTAAAATATTTGTGGACTCTGTATTATCAAACTGGCGTGACGCCGCTCTTTTTCATATCATTGCACGCAGCGCCGGAAATCAAAGAGAAACGCCGAACACAGAGGGTTTTCATAGGGGAACACAGTGCGTACCTATAGACATGACTTATACACGAGTGGTACGTAACGAAGGTTTAAAGCGGTGCCAGTTGACACGTGCTGCTAGGCTATTTGAGTTGTATATAAAATAAATATAGAAAAGAAGAAAGGAGGGTAGGGAGGGAGGTGTGTGAGAAGTGAATTAAAAGAAATTAATAGACAACGATAAATGAGAATAGAGAAACCGGTAGTCGTATTTGATACGCGCGAATGGCAACGTTTCATTCGCACCAGTGAACATCAACATGGCGTCGGCCAGATACGACGAAATAGTTTCACTTCCCGCGTTACAGAGACTGAATCGTCATACGGGCAGATCCAGCTGGTTGGTTGAAGTTCACAAGTCGAGTCAGAAATAACAAAGTCTGGCTAAAGGTACAGGGTGTCCCCATCTACGTATAGCATGGAATACGTACAAGCATAGGAAAGGCGGTCGGCTGATAGAAAATGATGGCGACTGGTGGCGGCTAAGCCCTGTCTCTTTCTAATCAGCAGCCGTACTACGAGAGTATAGAAAACGTAGCCAATGGGAGCATTAGAAAAGGACAGCTACTGGATGCCACCTCACTCCCTCTTTGTCTGTTCGAGCGAACATTTCCAGGAGTTTCAAGTAGGGATCGCGTAGTCCATGCTATATTTCGATGCCTAACATAGAGCCAATGACATACCGTGCTGCCATCTGTTTCCCATTGAACGAGTCTAATATTGTCCGTGAAGTTTCGCCTCTTCACGTTACCCATCACAGAGCTATTACAAAAGGCGAGCACGTTACTTTTCAAGTTCCATTATTTTGATTGCCTCTAAACTGAAAGTGAAGCGAGATGAGGATTTTCGAGTAGATCATTCGGGGATGATTGAGAAGAGTGGGACGGTAGGTATACAGGGTGGTATGTTATAACCTACCTACTATGGCTTGACGGCTCCTAGCAAAATGGCATGGGGATGATAGGACTATACGGATGACCTAAAACTATAAAACTTTCTCCCTTCCTGATAATCTTAGCCTCTTCGAGCCTCTGCATTAAGAAAATATACTCGACGTTTTCTGTTTTTTTTTTTTTCACGTGACGAGGTTTTCACGCTCGTCCCCTTAACTTTTCGAATGTCCGATTTTATCGATGTAAATAAAAAAAAAAGTTATTGTTATATACTCTGGATCCCATCGCTTTCTTAATGTTATTATATAACCTTTGTCGATGAGTTTTTGCAGTTTTCTTTTTTACCTAGCATCCTAACCCTTTTTCGTCATATTTATCTTGCCGTACCCAACTTTGTCACGGTAGTGCTAATTTAGGTTGTTTATTTCACTAGCTCGTACCTTTCGTTCGAACTGACCGGTTTTCAGTTATTCTTTTACGTAGCAGCCATACAAACCAGACACGAGCGTAAAATCGAGCGTAAAAATGATTACGGTTAATTAATCAAACTTCTCTTTTAGGTAGCTTCGTTATGTCTTGATTTTCGTTCTTTTTCATTCGTATAATAATACCGTACCGTGGGTTCGTTAAGGTCCCTCATTGGCAGATAAGACAGTTACTAATCATTGTTATTCCACTTCGCTTACGTAACTAATAGACATTACGGAGACCAGACGTATAATCTTAATTAAATTCTTTATTATTGCTTTTGCGAGATACTTGTTACGAATCGATTAAAAAAAAAAAAAAAAAAAAATACACCCCGTAACACGAACAAATATTATGACAAAAAACCGCCGAGAGTCAGGGTCGTCCCCCGGGTACACATGTAAATTTGTAATTTGCCAAAAAAAATATCGAAACTCCCGAGTTAAATAAATCCAGTATACCCTCAAAAGAGAATAAAAGACCGGACGGCGGTTTCGGGCGTAACATTTTTTAATATCGCAAGTAAATTTATTCACCCTTCGCGGCTACAAGACGCGAGACTTTTTCACGGCGACAGATCAAACCGTAACGTGGTTTCCGTTCTGCCGCACGTTCGCGTGTGTATACGGAGAAAAAAAGAAAAAAAAAAAAAAAGAATGACGCGTTCCAGCAAACGCAATTTCTCTTTAAGACGAACAATGAAATAATATAGGTTAAGTCGACCTACCTGCCTCCCTTTGTCCTTACCGCGGCTCGCCAATATCTCCTGCAGTCCAAAGGCCGCCGTCGAGAAATGCCACGAACGAGCGTTACAATAATAACACGAGGAGCGCAGCTCTCGCTCGTCCCAATAATCTCCCGAGAACTTTTATTGAACGCGTCGTTACCGCTCGCATGAAACATCAAAGAGAAAGCAACATTTTCCCAGGACACGAGGAACGCGGAATTATCCTATCTAGCTCGAGCAGAACGAAATTCTCAAGGACCGAGAGACATCTAATAAATTGAAACAGTAGAACGCGGAACACGCTGGTTATCTTCGAGCGTGACGTCATTCGAAAGGAAAGTTAAAAGCTTCGCGGCACGAATTTGCGGGAATGAAAATAACGGCAGAAACACTTATAAACTTTTTTCACGCGCTTCCTGCCTTATTTTGACACCTAACCTAAATCCTAGCACACTAGCTCATTTTCCCTATGTCCCTGCAGCCTCGTATGCCTAAACGATCGTTTCCGTCACTCAGCACTTTTTCTTAACCCTCATTCACTGCTTTTCTTAGTTTCCTCGCTTAACGTTGGCATTAAGGCTATTGCCCATGACCAACGAAACCGTTATACGAAAAGTAACCATTTTCATTTCCAATCCCGAATAAGTGCTTGGAGACAAAAAATTCTCTTTGGTACGAATGATCGAGACAGAGGTCTAAATTGATAAAAAAAAAAGAAAAGGAGAAGATTAAAGACCCTAGAGAATAATGAAAGTCGTTGTAACAATGTTATAAGAACTTTCACTGAGACGTGAACGGTGATAAAAAATTTGGATTTCCGAAAAAAAATGTTTTTTCTTTTTTCTTCCGGATATTCATGTAAAACATGTCCTTGGCAAATATAAAAAGTCGGAATTTCCCTCAGGAGATTCTCGGTCTCTCGTCCAAAAAATATTCATCTCGTGTCCGCACGTCGTTGTCCTTAAGGTTGTTAGCTTTCGCTATTGAGTCTCCCTACCAATATGTGTTTGCACGTCAACAAGAGGACGGTACTTACAGACTCCCCCAGTCTTCCTGTGAGGGATGGACGTGTCTCCCGCAGCGACGGTACATGACGAACGTAGTGTGAAGCTTCGAGGACTGTTCAGACGGCATGCGTGGAGATCCTTGTTATCCTTTGACAAGGATATCGATCCTGTGTATATTGACTTAATTACCTTTTCTCCCTACGCCATTGACAGGCAATATCCGCCATTAACTATATTCGCGAAGGTTTCACTACGTTTCACCATCGGCACGATCGATAAAGATCGTTTAATCGTAATTGGCAATTTCAATCAACCTTTGCGTTACCTGTGTAATTTTAGATGAAGAAATCATGGCCGACCACGTGTCGACGAACGTGAATTAAATTGAACGAGAAAGAGCCAAGGGTTTCCGATGGATTTTTAATAAGAAAATACAATTAATCGCTATTCACGTAATGGAAAAGTCATCCCGTGATAATACCAGAATGACGTAAAAGAATGTACATATTAAATGGCGAGGTTGAATTTTGCGAAAATTGAAACACGGCAGCGAGTCGTCGTATACGTATAGGAAATCAATTTTCCGACGGAACGTTTGAACTTTGAAAAATATTTTTTATTCATGCAATTTTTTACTTTTCATTATTTCATGCGGCCAATTGTTCACGTTCGTACGTAGCTTCGACGTAGCGTCGAAAAGTACATACGTCACGAACGAGATTGAGTCGTTACGATCAATTCGTGTACTTTATTTCGCTTTGGTCTCAGCCGTAATGACCAAATATGAGGTCTGACAGTCCATGTGGCAGCTATGAGAAATAATAATGCGAGGTGCGAAACTTTTCCGTGAACAATAAATACACGTCGTCGTAGTCCTTTCTCTCCGATTTACAAGCACGTCCATTTGGGTCTCGCGTTATTTACACGAGAAATTTAATAATAAATGAATAGAATGTTCACCCGTGGCTCGTATTCTAGTCCTTCGTTGAAATACGTAACGTCATATTAAATATTCATTTAATATATTTACGCGTAATCGTTTCGCTTTCAAATCACGAAAATACTTTAAGAGTTCATTAGCAGACAACAATAATCGAGCTACCCATATTCTTGTTGAAAACGAAGAAAATTCAATTAAGAATTGTAGGAAGTATCAGCGGAAGTGACAGGTGACACAAATGCTGCTAGTAAGACGGATTGAATCCTGTCGTCAGGATAATGGAACTTTATTCATTCACGACACGCGAATTTTATCCAACAAGGACACTTTTTTTTTCCAGGATGTAGAAACGAGAACGAAACACAATCTACGCGTATATATATATATATATATCTTTTGTTTCTTGCGAAAGAGCCACATTTAATTCGTTTCCATTTTTGAGATTTATATGTTAATACGCAAGAGGGTAAGGGGAAGGTAGAAACGAGAACGAAACACAATCTACGCGGAATCCTGTCGTCAGGATAATGGAACTTTATTCATTCACGACACGCGAATTTTATCCAACAAGGACACTTTTTTTTTCCAGGATGTAGAAACGAGAACGAAACACAATCTACGCGTATATATATATATATATATCTTTTGTTTCTTGCGAAAGAGCCACATTTAATTCGTTTCCATTTTTGAGATTTATATGTTAATACGCAAGAGGGTAAGGGGAAGGAGGGATGATTTTGTGTAAGAAGGGTACCTTTGCATCGATCGAATAAGATTCCTTCTATATGGCTACATATGTAGGGAGTGAAGGGGAGGGATAAAGCTCGACGCTTGGATAAGCTGAAAATTCATCCGGAAACTTAGTAACCCACTAGAGCGAAACTGGAAGTGTAGAATGCCGGATAGGCTGGTACGTGAATGTTAAAGGATGTGGAGGAGGATGAAAGAAGAAGAAGAAAAAGATATTCAAAGTTTTCCCTCTAAATCCCTTTACACGCCGACATCATTCTTATTCAATAAAACTTTCATGCGGAAACTCCAAGGATGAAATACTCTTTGCTACCATGGCGATACTAAAACTACGTACACGTATTACCCGTTTCTTATTGCTACTGATACTTACGAGTCTGTGCTCGAGCTGAAATACGAGTTCGGCATTAAAATCTTCTATGGAGGAAGCGAAACCGAAAGAGGGGTAAATAATTAATTGTATGGACATTGGAGTTTTAATGACGATTGTCCTTTTCAATTAGAACGTAAATTCTTAATAGTCTACTAAGTTTGCGCAGACTTTCGAATTATTGTCAGACTTTATTAAGCTTTTGTCCTTTTGGGTTAAATCGACATGACCTTGAGGAGACCGGGGACTGTCAACGACCATTTTGAATTTTCAATCACGAAAATTATAAGTTACACGAAATTAATGGAACTGTCTTTATTAAACAAGAGTTGCACGTATATTTGTATATATTTTCTTATTTCTTGACAGCCACGTTACGCGTTAAAAAATTGCATGCAACTGACAGCTTCGGTTTTTTTTTTTCAATTATTCCAGATAAAAGTGTGAATATAATGTAAGCGCAGCTTGCAATTATATTTTATTTTAAGGTTATGACGTACTACCCAGTATACTTAATAATTAAGGACGTTAGTAATTAATAGGTCGACAAACTGTGCTTCCAGGGACTAATAAGAGAAATCATACGGGGCAATGACATTTTTAATTGTTAATAAGAAACAGGGCAAGTGGGTTCTTTTTGTAAACCGTCCTGTGAGTATTTTTTTGTATGACCAAGCGAAGGAAATGAAGCTGAAAAGGTTTAATGTATGAACAGCGAAGCTTTTTACGCTTTCGAAAACTCCCGCATCGACCCGGCAACGTGCGGTAACAGGAAATGGCTTCTCTTTTTTCGACTAGTCGGAAGTCGATTAACGAGACGCAAATTAATGAACCTCTGTATAAACCGTATTTTCAAAAGAATTGCATTCAGTCACACCCGACATTTTCCCCATGATTCACGCGATTAGAATACGTGACAACGATCATTAGCTACCAGTCGATTTCTCGTTTAATATTTCACACGGCAGCCTGATAGTTAATGCGAAATACTGAACGTTCATTAATGAATTTCCGTTGCCTCAAACGGCAAGGATGAACCAATGAAAATTTTACACAATCCTTTGAATCGCTCACATTTACATAGACGAATCTGAATCTTACCTTGATTTTTACATGAATTTTTTTTGCAAAGTTCAACAAAACCTTATCCAGCTTGCTTGACAGTACTCCGCGAGTAATGAATCGACAGGTTTATATTTGCCATCTGTAAAAATATCGTAGTCAATCGATATATGGCTTATCGGCAGAATAGACGTATATTGTTCTAAAGCACATTTCGCCGAGGCAAATACCGTTAGATGTTTTCCCACGGGGATTGCACGTAGTCCAACAGGGATATTGGCTTTTATATGAACTCGATCAGTTAGCCATTCAAACAACCAACCAACCAGCAAAAGCCTTACCTATCCCATTCTACTCCAGCAGAGTCCTGTGTCTGCTTAATCTAATCTCACCGCTTCATATACGACCTTTAAGATACCGTAATCCCGATGCACTATAAACAACAATGAACCCATAGACGCAAGCGAGCGCCATTAAACAAAGGACGGGTTTGATGTAAGCATCAACTGGCATGCTTTTGTCTATGCACTCGACAACATTGTCACGTATAAGCATCTAATATGTTCAAGCACGAAGATCAGGCAACAATCGTAAACACAAACAAGATTTTATCTGCGGTAATTTAACCTTCGAGTAAAACATAGAAACGTCTCGTGTCAGTAGCAACGAAGGTTAGTTCTCGCGACAGCCGCAAGAGTCGTGCGTGTCAGAAAATATTTAAATTTGACCAATGAGAGATTTAGTATCCCTGAGTTTCCTAATTTGACGATTGGACCTGGGAAAACTGCTATATCCTTTGACAATATCCAAACTTATATCTGCGAGAGGTAACTCACCACGGAGGAAGTGAAAAAGAGGAGGAACCGAAGTGACAAAAAAGAAATATCTCAACGTGAACCGTAGACGCATTCCAGGCACATTTTCAAATTATCTCCATCTCTCGTAGCAATTCTGTCTGTGAAATCGACTAGTATCCTGTCTGCACTGCCGTTGTATGTATATCAGTAAGTACAGCAACCATACTCATGTAAACACGAGTACTCGAGTGGCCCCACGTAAAACAAATATTTTCTACTTTACCTTTCGTGTCACGGACAAGAGGGAATTCATGTCTCATGTCGCCTGACGCAATGTCGGTCGCGAAGTAAATTCTTTCCCCATTTTTTTGGTTGATCCAGCGTGCCGCGTTGGAGAAAATATTAATTTCAAAAAGCCATACGCTGCACAGGAGTGAAATCTAGTTTTGCGGGACCATTTATACATGGCTTTCAATATAGAGGACTCCTATGAATTTTCCATTTTATTCGGGAATCGAGTATACACGTATTTGACGATAATATCGGATTCACAGTATCTGCACTGGATAAAATAATTAAATCCCACTATCGTCTAATAAATCTCAGGATAAAATAAACCTGAATGCATATGCACTGTTCGTAGGTATCTTTAATGAGGTCGAATGTGTTACACTGCAATTCCAGTACAATGGACAGCTTGTTATGACGTTCCAGTTTCGCGAAGTAACTTGAAGAGTGATGACGCATCGGCAAATTCAGAAACTAGTGAAATATGAAAATTAGCTTGAAAATTTCAGACCAATTCTTTCAATTGAAACTCCTCGACTTAACTTGCCTTAGTATACAGTTATTACAGTATGTCTAACGAGATCTTCAGCTATCGTTCGCTGCTTGAAAGTTCCGATCGATTGTGTCGTGCAAAAGAGAATAGAATGGATGATAAAAAAAGAATAAAAGCATAACAAAAATTAATTGAATATCCATTTTAACGGGTTACACGGGTTAAAGGAAATAAATGACGACGCATACGAGTAATTTGTATCGAGTGATTATGTCAATATATTACGGTGGCTGAGAAAGCTTAACGCAACGCGGTTATTCAGGCGGAAAAGCTTGAAAATTTGTATTGTCACGGGTAAACAGCAAGGGACGAGAGTAAAGTGACTCGATTACTGTCATTTAATAGGATGTGATGGTGGGACGGGACAGGTAAAATAATTGAAGCGTCACGACCATATAATATATCAGAGAGAGAGAGAGAGAGAGAGAGAGAGAGAGAGAGAAGTTTATGTTACGAAAGTGGCAAGCTATTACGTCTGTCTGATTATCACGTTTTACGGAAGACTAGATAAATTGACTTTTTCGCAAATTTCGAACGAGCAATAAAAAACGATGAAAAATCAGCGCGAATTGTACTGAAAATATACGCGTGCGATGTGAACGAGCCTTAATATAATATTCTTAGAGCGGTGCACCTCGCGTCTGTATGTCAGTTATCGAAGCTGGTAAAGCTAAGGGAAATCAGCGTACCAGAAATTCCAAAAAATATATATATAAATCCGATTCGCTATTCTCAAAGGAAGTTTATTCAGTGTCTGTGATGACGCTTTATGATCTCGTATTTGCTCGTCTGTGCAATTCTATTTGCAATGGCTCTAGGCAATTGTTGATTGCTGTCAATTGACTTTTGCAAGCAATACCCCTTAGCAATTTTTACATTGAATATTTGCTCTCTACCATATCGCATGTATGTACATGTGTTTCGATCGAATCGGATCTATATACATACATGTACGCGACGTGTGTACATAGGCGTCAAAGACGAATTTACGCGTCGTCGTTTATCGAGACGGAAAAAGTAAATATAATAAGTAAAATTGAAAAAATCGATTCGTCACTCGTAATTTATTTATAGACGAGTCGTTTTGCGTCTAAAGAGATCTTATCGGCGTTAAGTCGTACTTATTTAAAATATATACATATATGTATACTGTATATGGATATATCTATGCGTATGACAAAGGTATAGATATACAATGTATGAAAAAGGATACGATCAGACATAAATAAAATTCGTATGTACACACACACACACACACACAAAATATTGTATAAGAAAACACGGATATCTGCGGACCATAGCCTAGCGTATTAGGCAATTTTTTTAAGTCGATGTTCGCTGTACATTGTAATATTGTCAAATCAATCAAACCAATCAATTTTCTTATCTCATGACTTACTATACATGTATCGTATTTGTATTGTTATGTCTCTTAATAATTGATCAGTGTCATACAAAGGGAACGAAGTCATAGGAGGAAGCGAGTCGACGAAATAAACATTTTTAGGTTATTTTCGACATTTTTGAACAATGTAATTATCGCTGTTGAACAAGGGAACTATCTATCTGATGCTTAAAGAATGGTTATACACGTTGTTTTCTAAAGCCAGAAATACTTCGTTACTAAACGTCCCAGAGGGAAAAGGTAACAAAAAATAAGAGCACAAAATATTTAGTCTTTCTCGCTATTTATAGTGAGAAAACTTTATCGAACTATCGTTAGCTTGGAAAAATGCATTCGGAAGGAAGTTTTTTTTCATTAAAAAAATTAACTCGACTAGCCAATACCATTACGATGATTGATATTAATGATTGGAGCATTATTTCGTGACTCGCTTTTTTCTTTACCGTTAATCTTCTACTATACATATATGTGTAACTGGTTGTCATCCTGTAATTAATTACATAACATCATATTATTATTATTATTACTATTACTACTACTGCTACTACTATTACTATTACTATTACTAATACTAACAATTCCGATAAGCGTTAATTATATAAACGCTGCGTAATGACCTACTGTACTGTCTCTCGATCAAACAACCTTGTGTACTTCAATTAAAAATGATCTACGAATTAAAAAGTAACTGCTGTCTCCATTTCTTCTCGTTCTTTTGTTCTCTTATTCAATAGACCTGGATACAATAGGCTCACGAGTTGATAAGCAACTAAGATAATAGTTATAATTTATTGAACTAATTTATATTGACTTTAAACCTTCGAACAAGTCAGTGTACCACTAGTAGAGTAATTACATTTTGGTCTAAAGAAATCTCGAAAGAATCTTATTAGTGGGAGTTGATTTATGATAGGGACAATTCTTTTCGTTTGGAATGATGAGGAATGTTTAATGAGTACAAGTACTTGTTTTTTATTTACGTCTAAAATTTCTTTTCTTGGTTTCCTTATTTATTTGTCCAAAATAAGGTAACGTGTCTCACGTTGATCTTATATACAAGACATACAGTATTCAAGAGAGTAAAATGAAGAGCACGACATTCTCACCTTAAGCATAGTTAAATAGTCTCCAGTAATGTCCGAATAACACTGCAATTAAATAATTTTGAAAAACTTCCCTGGCTCAGCCGGAACGTGGAGTATCATGGCAACTGAATTAATATAAATAATTCTACTCATATTACATTAATAATCAACGTCACCGCGATTATCCTTAGACTACTTTGTAGATCAAGCCTAACAACGGTGTTACAGTACAGGACTACACTTCCTCTTTTATTATATATCGACGACTAATAAACATCGCAGCAGACTCATAATTCGCTCATATACACGAAATTATTACATTTCATTATTGATTAATATCGTTCATCAACTCTTTTAAGAATTCCATGTTTGATGGTGCTGTAGTATAAAGACTTCCTGTAAACAGAAGTACGAATTAGAGAGATCCTGTATAGTGAGTTCTATATTTTAATTGTGGCATAACGGGCTGTGCCAATCCAAGAACAGAATCACATGATGTATCATAAGTATTTTCTGTCATAAAAATAGCACCTTAGGCTTTCAATATAAAAGCTCTCTGGACACTTACCAACAAAGTTATTTGAATTGCTGCTATGTGATATGACCTTACAACGGTTCTTCTCCTGTATCTGGAAACCTAAGCAACGAAAACGTTCATCCGTCTTGTATAGCGTACCATTTTTATGTGGGTTGAAATATGGTTGTCCACTAAATGGATTAATAAAATCAGCCCAATATCCAATTAATTTAAGCTTGGTGCAAACGTCTGATGCTGCCAAAAGGAACTAAAACAAATAAGACATCAAGCTTAAATGATGGTTCAAGGTATCGGAGACAATGAAACTTGTTTTGGTTTGATATACTTACATATTTCGCAAGCTTCTCAGTCTCAGCTTCCCTATTCCATTTAATAGTCTTACGATTCATTTTTTGACTAATCGTTATTATTGATAGTTGCGGAGAGTTGACCTCCACACAGCCAGGAAATAATTCCATAATGCCCTTTCTTAGCAACATGGGACATTCTTGCACTGTGCAGTGGAGAAGGGGATGCTGTTTTTGAGACTCGTCGATAGGTGCTTCATAACTCTTTGCATCTTTAACTAAGCCGTCCAACAAAATATCATCACCAGTATTTACAACGAAGGAACGAGTCTCCACTTGAGCTGTTGTAGATGCATCAAGCCATCCAGGACCTATTGTTCCTGGTAGATAAAATCGGAAGCCTCTTGGTGGGAGTAGTTCCCAATTAGGACTTACTCCAAATACATTATTTTCAACATCTGAATATTACAATAACAAAAACCATAATTAGAAGTCAATACACAATATAATATATTATCAAGACATGTTTCCATATACAAGCATTGTATACTAAGGTCAACATGAAGGTTAAGTTATAAATTATATAAAATACTCAGAAACAATTGTTGAAAAGAAGAAAAGAATGTATTTACCGTCAACGGGTTCGCTGTTGGATTTTACAACCTTGTAAGAACTTGTATCCTTATGATTACGTCGAGAATATTTAGCCTTCAAGATGATATTGACAGGCGTCGCAACGCAATTTCTTTTTAAAGAATTCGCACAGAGCATCTGAAACATAACAAATAACACACTGTTATAGGTTAGGATTTCTGCATTCCTATCAAATATACTACTTTTACAGCTCAAAATAATAATTTACGTCGCATAATGTAAATTTACTAGTTTAATAATAATGTTCACATATTAGGTTTCATTACCATCGAGCCTTAATTTAACATACTGAATTTGGATTAAGTATCGAAGACGACAGAGCGCTGTTGGCTACTAATATCGACTCTCGAAGTATCGACCCTGATCGATTCTTAAATTCATTGATATCAAAAAACAGTAAGCGTAAACTTATTGCACATTTGTATTTGTTAGTTAATTAAAAACAAGTTTTCTAAAATAGATAGAGCACCTTTTCTTAGTAAAAAAAATCCGTCAAATCCAACTGTTGTACATAAATTTTCGCTTTAGGCGAATGCTTTAAAGTTTCTTTAGTGTGTTAAAAAATAAAACCGCATTATTCTGATTGACGATTGTAATATATTTCAAATAATTGATTTTTCTATTACAAAAATTCATGTAGATTCTAGTTCTTTGTCGAACAGTACGTCTGGACGTCTATATGACATCACTGTGTCACTAATAGACGCGAGGTCACATAAAAAACGAAATTGGGTAAAAAAAATGGACAACGTGATAAGAAATATGCCACCATACGTGCCACATTTATTTTCAAAAAGTTATCTGAAACGAAATATTCAGTATGTAATCAGTATTTTGTGCATTCAAGAATCTCCCTATAATACGAATATGAATTAGTACGTTTTCTACAGAGAGATAACACGTCAAAGATGTGCAAAGTCTATCTCAAACACTTTTATGTGTCGTTTTCTACAGAGAGATATAACGTCAAAGATGTGCAAAGTCTATCTCAAACACTTTTATGTGTCGACCAGTTTTCTCCCGCGTTTTAAAGTTACCAGTCTTTCTACGATATTCGTGAAAGTCGCAACAGCTTAGAAATAATGTATTTCTTCAACGGATTTATTATACCCGTAGTGCGATACCATAAAACCAATAGTGCTTTATTGAAAACTATTTTACCGAGCATAAATCAATTGTGTTCAGTACATGTACGAAATTTAAAAAATATTAAAGTAGACGTGGTCTCGAATAAGGTGGGTGTACAATGCAAATATAATTAGAATTTATCGATTTAAATCGAAACTAATTCTTTTCTTTTATTAAGATTGAATATTTTATTTCTTAGAGCGAATCCGCCGCTATGTTTAATTCGAAAGATATTATTACTATTTCCACAAAAAATGGTCCTTTAAAATTTCCAAGTGTGTGGCTTCGGGACAATTGCCAGTGCCCTAATTGTTTTCATCAAGAGTCACAATCTCGCACGATTGATTGGGGTCATTTTGATTTTAATACAATACCTTTAGCAGTTGAATTAAAGGAGACTGATTTAAGCATCGAGTGGTCGGACAATCACAAGAGCACTTACTCTCTTTCATGGCTCATTGAAAGATCATTTACGAAGGAAAAACGTACACGTTATAGAAAGGACTGTTATAGATTCAACAGAGTAGTATGGAACGCGGAAGATTTTAAAAAATGTTTAAAAACTTTTGATTACAATGATGTCATGACAGAGTAAGTATATTAATAAGATGTGTTTAATTGCTTTCACTTTAAATTCCAAATAGTGTTTCTGTAATACAGTATTAAATTAAACATAATAATATGGCCAATGATATAAATTTACAATTAATATTTCGTAAAGAATTTATTTTAAAAGTACGATTTTATTTCAGTAATAACACATTGCTATTGTGGCTGAACGCTTTAACAACGTATGGTGTTTCAATTATTACTGGTACACCGGATGATATAGAGAGCAGTAAAAAATTGGGACACCGTGTCGCCTTTATTAGAGAAACACATTACGGGTAAGACTATATTTTTTTTTAAGTAAATGAAAAAATGAATACTAAAGATATTAATATTTATCACAAAGGACGCTATTGCAAATTCACTACGTACAGTCTACAATCCACGTGTATTCCTTTGAAATTGAATCATGTACAGTATTGTATATTGCTATATGGTACATCGATAAAAGCCTGTACAATAAAATTGTATATTATGCTTTTAGAGAACGCTTTATCGTGAAAGCTAGACGCGTCACAACGAACGTGGCCTATTTAGCTGCTCCATTGCAGCTGCATACAGATTTACCATATTACGATTACACGCCAGGGGTACGTGTATTGATAACTAATCGTTCAATTTTGTGTAATATACTATAAAGTTACATACGACAGAGAAAATTCATTTTTATTTAGGTAATCTTATTACACTGCCTAGTTCAAACTCCAAGTATTGGTGGAGAAACTCAGCTTACGGATTGTCTTTATGTGGCTGAGTATTTGAAAAAGAATGATCCTGAAACCTATAAAGTATTGACAACGACATATGTGGATTGGAATGATATCGGTCAAGAAGATGGAAATCACTTTCATAGTATTAATCGTGCGCCAGTATTATGGTAAGAAAAATTTACGATGAAAATAAGTGTTGTAATTAATAAAATTGGATCTTATCGTCACATGGAACTTCATTATTTAGCGAGGATGATTTTGGAGATATTGTTGAAGTAAACTTTAGTCAACCACAACGGGATAGTCACTTTAATGTACCTTTGGAACAAGCTGTAGAATGGTACAAGGCTATGAGTATATTCACAAGACTTTTATACAGCAAAGAAAACACAGTGTTTTTCAAAATGAATGAAGGTAAGTTTGAAGATATAATCGGACGTCGGTGCGAGTGATATATAAATGTTTTATCTATGAAATTATTTTAGGCGAGATATTAACTTTTGATAATAGACGGTTAGTTCACGGAAGAACGGGATACGACGATGACAATGATAAGAAAAGAAGAATCATTGGATGCTATTTAGATTGGGATGAAATTTATTCTAAAATACGAGTTCTCAGAAAAGGAGTGTGATGTAAATTATAATTCAGACATATGATTTATGTTATATTGTTACACATTAAGTTCAAGGTAATTAGAAATAACAATCTTACATATTATGTTTTCATGTTGTGTAACATTGCTTACTTCATATAATAAATGAAGTTAATGAAAATTGAGAAATATCACAAGATTTTCTTAAGTGTAATCTAAATTTGGCATTTATTTTAATATCACTCTTAGGCTATCTACAAATATTATCAAAAATAAACTTTTCTTGGAAAAGCTGTTTTGATAACTATTATTATTCATCTAACATTCCTCAATATAGTATTATACTACTTTCTCCTAATACGTATGTATAAAGAAGTACTTTCCCACGTTTAAAAAATTGACATGAATTATTTTTTAATGAACAATGATACAGTGAACACAGATTTCACTCAATATATTACAAACTGCACACAAAAACGTAAATAAGTTACCGCACGTTGCAAGTCTTTATTCCACTTTTGTACTTTTGACTTTGTTCCTATACAAACCATACAGAAGGGCAAGGTGGCACAGATGTAAACTAGCACTACTAAAAATAGTACTCGGATATGTATTCCAACACAGTTCAATAATTCCTAATATAATAATTTTGGTAACAGTTTCATAATGAGTACACCATACAATATATGGTAAAGTATGGAAGTACCATATGTAAAATTGATAATGTAATGATCGACTGAAAGCAATACCTATAAAATTAGCAGCAAATAATGGAAAAATGAATAACTGACTAACAGTACTCATGTCAACTTTTGTATTCTTAGTCATCTGGTGTTCTATGCCCTTCTGAACATATTTTAATTTTGCATAAGACTTCATATAGGTAATCCAGTTTGGTGTAAAATATGCTAATACCATCAAATGCAAAGCTAACAAAGTGATGTGAAAGTATAGATTAACAAATATATCTTCTGGTAAAAATCTCCAATTAACAGTCCATTTGAACTCAAAGATTCGACCCAAATTAAAGGCACCCATAATATATGCTACTGGATTGACAAGCAAAAAGGGTAGTCCTAATAATAACTGTATTACACCACATATAAACAAGTGTATTACTGTCTTAATGAAACCTAGATTTGTCAAATATGCAATTAGAAGAGCTGGTGAAAATAATAATATATTCATCTTGACCGATACAGCCAAGCTGTAAAGTATACTACCAAGGTACCACCGATTATCAATAAATGCATTTATACTGGCAAACAGTAGCACCATTGCCACTGGATCGTTGAAGAGTCTCAGAATGCATATAGAATGAATTCTATACGACGTACAGCATGTGAGAATTAAAACGTAAGGTGGAACTTTCTTACTTCTGGCATAGATGCGAAAGACCAATATCAGCAGAATAATGTACAAAGCGGCAAAAAAGTATTGTGCTAATTTGATTTGCGTACCGCGCCCAGTAACATAGTATAGTATGGTGAAAATGTAGACAAATCCAGCAGGATAAACTAACGGCCCAGTATCGCCTTTCAGTTTCGAATAGTCCAATGTTCCATTTAAAACACCCTCGACCTCCTGCATGTATGCTACCCAGTCTATCTCCGTGTACCGCACATTTTCGATAACCAAAGCGTTCACAACGATTTCAAGCAGGATCAGCAGCCCAGCAATTACTGGCAATTTCTTCGGATCCGTCAGCAATGAAATACCTTGATCCCATTTAAGATTGTTTCTTAGCCAATTCTTCAAAGTTTTCTTATAGGATTTCGTCGGATTGGAACTAGCTCGATTATCTCGGCGTGGCGCCATGTCGGCAATTATACCTCTCTACGCATATGCGGTTTTAAAGTTCTCGAATTCACGCGGTCACCAATAGGAAAGCGTTTTGTGGTGCCGGCAGATGCCAGCCTTAGCGGTCGGTGTAGCCAATAAGAATTCGCCAGCTGGGATTCCGGGGTTTTGACAGAATCCAACGTGTATAAAGTCGTGGGCTGTAGGAAAACGCGAAGCAAAACGGTAAATTAACGTTGCGTGCTGTCTCCAGAAAGTACGGTGGTGTCCACGTTACTAAATTATCTACCTGCCAATAAAGTGATTGAAAGTAATAACGATTAGTCTTTAGGTTCGTATTCCATACTTCGCGATAATTTATTACAAATAATTATTACGTTCGTAATATTTATATCTCAAACGTAGATTCGCTAATTTTGACCTATTTTTATGATATTCTGTGTTACTATTTCATAGTCTGATAAGCAGATATGGATTTGATATCGATACGAGTATTTGAACTGCAGTACTGATAACACTTTTTTCACGATGTTTGGAAACCATTTCATTATTTGCATATTTCTCATCTTGAGTTATAAAATTATTGCCTTGTAATGATCTTGTTCAAGTCGGGTATAATTTTAAATAATGATTGTTTGCTTTATTGCGATGAATATTTTTTTGAATATTTGTTTTTAACATCACTTAGCATTTCCATGTTACTATAGTACCAGTAAAATTTCAATGTATTACGTTAAAACTTAACATAAGATTTGTACTCACTTTGCAGATTGCACAAAAACCAAAATGAATAGGGCACTAATATTCACATCTTTGTTACTCATAGGAGTAACATATAGCGTTCAGGCACTAAGGGAAGGAGACTGTGAAGGTAGAATATATAAAATTTGATTTAGAATAGTTTATTATAAAAATGAAATTTTATATACTGTTTTTTTTTGTATTTCAGTGTGTATAGCCACTGTAACTAAATTTGCAAATACATTAACCGATGATGTTAAAAAAGATCCTAAACAGATCGAAGAGGCATTCAAAAACTACTGTGAGGGTACCAAATTAAAGGAAAATAGATTCGTAAGTAATTTTATATATATCGGTTTAAACTATTTTGGAATAACGTCAAAAAGAAATAAATACAACCTTGTTCCAATGATTACAGTGTTACTACATGGGTGGTCTCAAAGAATCAGCTACTGGCATTTTAGGAGAATTAAGCAAACCTCTTTCATGGTCAATGCCAGCTGACAAAATATGCGAGAAGCTGAAGAAGAAAGATGCTCAGATTTGTGACTTGCGCTACGGTAAGCCTTTTTTTAAGTTTGTTTTTTTTCCCCTAAGGGTAGGTGTGTAGAATCACCTAATAGAATTTCGCGATATGGACAAATTGTCATTTTGTTGCAGAGAAACAAATAGATCTGAATACAGTAGATTTGAAGAAGTTAAAGGTACGTGACCTCAAGAAAATTTTGAATGACTGGGATGAATCTTGCGAGGGGTGTATTGAAAAGTCTGACTTCATTAAGCGGATTGAGGAGCTAAAGCCAAAATATTCAAGTAGCTCAAAGACTGAGCTTTGAACACGACATTTACATAGTTTAATTTTCGAATTAGTTTAGGTGGATCATTTTTACATTATTTAATTGTGCAAGGAAGCTCACTGAAGCACTTTATCTGCATCAAGCATATAAATATGCTTACACCATACTTTGCCCTAATGTCAACAACTCAAAATGTCGTACAGGGTCAATCTGTTTGAATAGTTGTTTCATTCTCGTAATGTGGCTGAATCTTTCGTGCGGATCCATTTACACTTGAAATCGTGAACCTAACGTTTCCTTAATTTTCTAAAAACTAAATCGTGAAGAAGAGTCATCTAATTTCGAAAAAGATATATGTAAATGTATCAAATCTATCATTTACAATAATTACTGATAGAAATAATATTTTTGACTTCGTTAGAGTAATGGGACATTGATCATTATAGTTCGTAATACACTTTTGTTGCAACTTTAATTGTGCAGTATTTCTTAAGCACTTTTAATTAGCCAATTAAGAATTAAAATTACAGCAACACATGATCAGATGCGGGTGCATGTAAAAAAAAGAGATATAGTCTTTCTTTGCTCCATAAATGAAAAAGAATTTGTTTAAGTCAAGTAAAAACTGTATTCTAAATCTAACACATCCATTGCAGTTTTCTTTTGAGTCAATTTTTCACCTGATTTCCGTTGTTTATAATAAATACACATAATTTTTATGACAAAATATCATAAGTTTATGAATAACAAATAATTTTATCTGAGTATTTATTTATGATCATTGCCTTAACTTAGACGGTATTACTTGGAAATTTACTGCTGAATATACCTCAATATATAAAACTGTTTTTATCAAGGGAATTTAAATACTTTTAACAGTACAAATCTTTAGTTTATTTAACGAAATAAACGAAACAGATCTATTAACATTAATCACATGGCCAGTGGACACTTATTAAAAATAGCAACACCAATAATATACCAAATTATCAGTTGTAGCATACGAGTGTTACATTTAATCACGAATTATTTGTAATTGAGAGTATATCATCGTTGTGTCATATCTCACTAATAGATTCACATGACGCATGTATCAAAGTCAATGAAACGAAGAAAGATATGATAATATTTATAATAAAATTCTATGTTATTTCTACTTGATTTTAATAACGGAACTGCTTAATTATAGGAAACCAACTTCTCGTTGATTTTATGCCTTGAGAGAAAAAACATTATTCTATAATGACAACTTTTCTTTTTTTCTCACTTTAAACTTTTCTCACAAACCGGCATATCACTCCACTTGCCGTTACTCGCACAAGTTATTTCACCTTTTTGCTTTCCGTCGGGACAAACATAGGTAAGTTTGGCTTGATACAAATAAGATTGACCAGTCACTGTGATGCCAGGAAGAATCGTAGGCTTGCCACATGATATCTCTGTATAATAATTAATCAATTTTTCAAATGGCAAATACATTATTAAAATTGTTACACTTACTGGAACATTTGCCATGCATCCTTGACCATTTTCCATTGGCGAGACATCGTGCATAACCATGTCCAAATATCTTGTATCCTTGTAAACAGCCGTAGGAGACCATATTTCCAAAAACGTACGTAACATTTTCAGTATTGCCATTTATTACGGTATTTAATGGTGAGGGTGGCTTACCGCAGATAACGGCTGAAAATTTAGTAAATTAATTTCACGTTGTTTAGTTTCGGTACCATTACAAGTTTGGCCGGCATATTGAATTAAGGAAACGAGACTTACGTTTGCATATTGGAATATGGCTCCACGTGCCGTTCGAAAGGCACTTTGAACTTTCGTTACCCTGAAGAATATAACCATGACGACATTTAAATTTCACCTCGTCGTTTACTTTTGTTGACGCTGTGTCACTATTGCTAATTGCACTCTCGTTATTTATATAGCCGTTGGCAGGAGGCTGAAATTAATATAGTAAATAACGCCAGTTTACCCTTAATATAGCTTTTAAAAACTTACCTTTGGCTGTTTGCATGAAGCTTCCTTGCAAATGTCATAAATATTTTCATTAAAAATATTTTTTAATTGAATTTCATTCAATTGAAGATTTGAGAGATTCCATGCGCCTCGTTCATTACATATCCAAGTCAAATTGGATGGTGCATCCGTAATGTTTATACTTTGCAAGTTAACTACAGTGTTATTTACACATTTGAAAATTGTTTTTTCACCAAAGTTATTACCCTCGCTTTCAAATGAAATATTATGAAATGAACCTTGCGTGTTTCTTAAATTTTCCCAATTTTTCTCAAAATCCTCATCACTCTTAAAAGTTTGTTCCCCATTATTGATCTTCAATTCATTCATTCGTCCACGAAAAGATCTAATAATAGGATGATACGTTACAGAGCATTTTCTTAATTCACAATGTGATTCATCATCTGACCATTTTTCAGTATCCATACAAGTCTTTATACGAGATCCCTTTAGTTCGTATCCAATGTTACAAACGGTGGAAATCTTAGACCCAAAACTAAATTTCTTATTCAATATCTCAAAAGGCTCCATCTTCTCCAATTGTAAATTCTCTGTGTCATTCAATGTCTTATTTAAAGTTCCATTCAAATTTACAGAAGGTTCTGTTTCCACCTTGGATGATATCAATGAGCTTTTATTCAGTAATGAATTTGCCTGCTCTGTTGCATATGGAATTTCCAAAGTAACATTTTCAGTGATCAGAAATATTTTGGCGTTCTTGACTACCTCAGGCCATGGACATTGCAAAGGAACACAGTCAGGAACAAAACCAATCCAGGAACCACTAGTGGAACACTGTAATCGGAATTCTGCCACGAGATTGTGATTTCCTTGAAATTTGTAACCCGAATGACATGACAGACCAACTATGTCACCATAAAAATAACTATCCTTCAAGTAATCATCCATATGCATTTCGAGTTCAGGACCGATTGAAGTCTTGTTTATTTTATCGGCGTTCGAGGAAATGTTCAATGCGATGTAACCATGTGCTACGCTATTAAGAAAAAAATTCAATTATACATGAAACGTTCAATTTTAATTTAAACAATCTTAATGACACTCACGATTTTGGTGGTGGGCATCCAAATGGCGTACAAGTAGGTGGCTTGTAATCCCACACACCCTTTTCAAGACAGCTTAAAATTTGTTCCCCCATTAATCTAAATCCTGGATTGCACTTGAACTCAAGTTGTTGTCCAACCTAAGTTAAATCTCTAGAGTAATAAATTACTTGAAAACAAATGAAAAACATGATAAAAAAATAACCTGCAAAATACTGGTATCCTCTCTGTCATGTTCATCGACAATATATTCGATAATGCCATTTTCAGGAGCGAATAAATTCTTACACGTCATTCCTATGAAAAATATATTAATTTAGTGTCATCCAAGATTCACAAAATCAATCTTTATCCTTTACCCATGCACAATGGCTGCGTTCCGCTCCACGAACCATCTGCATTACAGAATCTAGTTGGATTTCCATGCAGTTCATATCCATTGTTACACATGTACTGAATTTTATCTCCGTACATGTATGATCTACCACGTAGTTTACCTCTTGGGAAATAACCAGGAAATCCGCACTTGATTCCTACACGATTATACAAAAATTAATCAATCTTTCCCAAAGAGTTTTTTGGCGACAAACATACTTGTACAATTGGGTGTATAATATCCGTTCCATTGTCCTTGCTTCAGACACTTTCTTGTTAATGATTTCTGTTCAGCCCCTCCAAACAGTACAAGATATCCTGTTTCACAGTGGTATGTTACCTCAGAACCATCCTCATTAACATTGACATTACCACGAAACGGTACGACAGGCGAGGGACAGCCACGACAAAAGGTACTGTTGACTATCTGTGAGTGTAGAAATTTCCTATCTAGATTTGTATACTTATAGCAGGTCGTAAAATATTATATCTTTCTAGTTGAACCAGATACCGCAATATCGCCATGAATATGCTCCTGCATTCTAGCCCAGGAAAATAGAGACCCGTGGTACGGTTCGCAGAGAGTACTCAAGTTCTTAATATCGTCTATACTCAGGACTTTGTCCCAAACGTCGAATAAACTTAATTTTCCCAAGAAAGATTCGGACTCGGAAAAACCTCCTCCAATTCGATCTTGTTCTTGTCCAATTACGAGAACTCCGTTACCTGTTTCAATTACAGTGATGTGTATAATCGAATGAGACTATTGCCAAATATCATTTGAATTACTGCTTCAGTACTATCACCTTGAATCACGCTCCCATTGGCGAATAAAGTACCGTTGTCTTTTATATCGTCATCGACAAAAACAGTCCAGGAACCGTTTTGACTTTCCCAGGTTATACAAAGGAAATGCCAGTATCCGTCGTTTGCTGTGATGTCCGTTACAATCCTTTCGCCGTTTACATATAAGACGAATCTATGGTGGGATATAGTTATTAAGGGAATTTGAAAATTCAAACTAATATTCTTACCCGTTGTAATCCGTTAAGGTAAAAGCATTGTCATGTTCTTTCGTTGCGTATGATAAGACTGTTCCGTAATTGAAAGTATCAACAGATTGTAACCAGAGACAAGCGGTTAACTGAAATTGCAAGTAATGTTTTTAAAATTTTTTTTTTTTGTTATATACGTTTAATTGTATTACCTCTGTGAGATCTTTCCCTGGAGCTTTTATCATTACATAGTCGGTCGTTCCGGATTTAGTGAAATGCATCACGTAATCGGATGACAATTCTTTGAAAAATTTAGATTATTAGTATTGAAGTTCATTTTTATTTTAATTAAACGGATATTTTACGTGGAATAATTTTTATATTTATACTTACTAGTTTCACAATTTCGACCGCTGTACCAGGCTGAACATACGCAGGTATAATTAGACAGCGATGGACCAATTTTACACGTACCATCATTTAAACAAGGTGCATCTTTGCAAGGATCTATTTTTGTCATGCAATTTTCACCTGTATATCCATCTGGGCACTCGCACCTGAAAAATGTATCAGGCAATTATTTTATCCTTTTTTTGGAATATCAATCTCGTTATCGCACCTGAAACTTTTTCTAGTAGCGTGTTCATCTTCGACATTGACACAACTCGAATGAGGATGGCAGGGGAACCAATCGCAGGGTAAAAGATTGCAACGTTGTCCCAAAAATCCAGAGCTACAAATACAATGCCAGGTTCCATTTTTATTGAGACACGTCGAACCTTCTTGGCATGGTGATGAGGCGCAATGGTTTTGGGATATTTCGCAATTATCACCTAATAAATATTTTTAAAAATTAATACAGGTAATCGATCTAGGAATTGCATCTGCATACCTTCAAATCCGTCTTTGCAAACGCATGAAAAATCTTTTTCGGTGCTGATACACGTACCGCCATTTTGACAGGGATTAACTGCGCATTCATCTACGTAAATCTGCGTATGAAATAATGAGGTACTTAATATTTGTAATTATCAGATAATTAATCAATCTTTTTACCTCGCAGTCCTTTCCTGTATAGCTCGACTTGCAAGTACAAGTGTACGCTGCATTGGCGTCATTATGGAAATGACATTGTCCTTCGTTTAAACATGGTGAGGAGTCGCAAGCATTTTGCAATTTATCGCATCTGGAACCTGTTTCGTTGAGTGTAAAAGGTAAAAGTTTATGTTTAATTTGACAAATTATTATTACTTTATATTCATTGTGATATGCAGGGACGCATATAGGATATTTATGAAATTTCATCGGAACATCTTACCTACATAGAGACCAGGGCACTCGCAGCTATATCCGTCCGTTTCCTTCACACATGTTCCACCATTGAAGCATGGATTTTTATGACAAACATCATTATCTATCTCATACGTATCGAGACAATCGTCAATCCTCGTGGAAGCTCGACCTTTGGTCGACGTATTTTCTGGACAGGCTGTACATTGATTTTTTCCATATTCTGGTTGGTAATAACCAATATCACATGTGAAGCATGGCTCCAGAGCTAATGCCAATCTGTGATCACGTTTACGATGAGAATAATGACCAGGTCGACATATCGCTAGAAGGAGAAAAAATATTGGGATAATTGGTAAAATATATTTTTTTCTATAAATACTAAATTCATTCTTTACGTATGCAGTCCGCTATGGATTTCCCATGCATTTTTCTGGTCAATGTGTGTTCAGGACACTTTTGACATTTGGAAGATCCTGTAGAATTTTCATACGTTCCAAATGGACAGGATTGACATTGGCCTTTAGTTAAATTGTGAAAGGTTCCACTTGGACACTTAACTGTGACGTAATAATTAATTTGTATCAATTGATAATATTGATTTATGTTGCGAACCAACTGCTACTACAAACCACAACTGTGCTTCTTCAATACGCTTCCTGTGTCACAAAGTTCTTGCGGTTCACGAAACACCGTATGAAGATTCAATGCAAGCTTTGCAATTTCCTGATTTGTTTTATTATTCAATAAATTCAGTTGTCCTGATTTTGTCATCGATTGGACCTTTTCACGTAACTTCGTTATTCCCTGCTTGGGATCATATCGATGCTCCTCTATTATCTTTCCTTAAGAATAATGTATGGATTTATTTCAGACAGATTAAAATATATTGACACGTAGTAAGTAACTAATATTATTCTTGGGAATCGATACTCACCAATTACTTTAAACTTTAACTCTATTTTATTTCTCTTTTTTTTGTTCCTCGTCTTATCCCGACCTTTATTCTTCGAGGCGATTCTCTTCCTTCTGATAGAAATATTCTCCTTACCAGTAAATCTTCTTCTTCGAATCAAATTCAAATTCACGTCTTCCTTAGAAATCAAATTCTCTTCACAGACTGGATCGGATCTTGATAAACTGCATTCTATTTCATTTTCGCAGATGCCAATCAGATTGGTCTCCAAGTCATCATTTATTCGGTCACCCAACTAATAAAATCAATAATATTACACGAGTAACATTAATACGATAAATTTTATTGGTATAATAAAAAAAATGTACTTGATGAAGTATTGTCGAATTTTCACAAGCATCAGTCGCTTCTCCCTCCAAGATCATGCTGCCATCTTGGGCAATGACATTTGGTACTTGAGCAACTGTGAGTATTTGGATATAGAATTTTAATAAAAGGATATTCAAGAGTAAGATATTCCTGAGTCTGATGAAAATATGACTAACCAGAACAATCAGGAAAATATGAATTATTCCACAAGTACGTATAACGATTGCACGTTACTAAAAGACCTTGGTCGGTTTGTACAGAATTTGATGGACTAAACGCGAATGCATATCCTTCGCTACACGTTACTATACATTGAACACCTTGAGCTTCAACCGATGAACATTCTGCATTTCCATGTAATGGTTTTGGATAATCCTGGCAAATATCTGTCGTAGATAGAAAAATCGTTATGCTCCAATATTTTCAATTAAATATAGAAAATCAATGTACCTTCAACAGTAACGTTGAGGACGCAGCTTCTCGTGTTACCGGACTTATCCGTAGCATTGTAAACGACATTAGTTAAACCCAGTGGGAATACATTTTCATCGGGATTATGACTTCTCTCCACGCGTACGGGAATGTCAGAATTATCATGAAATACTGGTTCCGTCCAAGTGATATTTATAGCACCCGTAGTACTCTCAGCTAAGAAAATTGGTGGATCAATACAATTTTCAACGGTTGGTGGTTCCCTGTCTACAATTAAAACAAACCTAATTAATAACACAAGTTACATAGAACGTACTGCAAGTTAAACGAAAACTTACCGACAACGTTCACAGTAAATTTACATATAGCTTTATTCTTGCTGGCATCCTGCGCTACGTATGTAATCGTATGAGAATTCAAACGAGCCTTCCAAGGAAATTTAATATGAGGTTTGCTCCAAACATTAGGCTTAGTATCCGAGTTATCAGTAGCAATCGGCTTGGTCCAATTTACTAGAGCATATTTTTTACCCGGTAATGTTTCCAGGCTTATATTCAAAGGACAAGTAATCACTGGTGGCGTATCATCTGGCAAGATATAATAATGTTCTCATTTATATACAATTTTTTTTCTAATTTACCTAATTCACTTCTTCCATAATTATCTTATACTTATCTTACCCACACACTCGTTGATGTTATGTCTCTGGGACCAGGTTCCTGTACGTCCTGCACAAAACCTACTTCGTGGACCTTCCAGGACGAATCCTTCCTTACAGATGATTGTACAATTTGTTGCAAATGGCAGTTTATTAGTACCAGTGCATATTTTAGGACGAATTTCCCCATTAGCCACATGTTTCAAGGGTAGGCACTTTATGGCTGATAATAAGACAGTGAAGAATATAATTTTGGTATATTAAATTTATATCTTATTTGGACTCACGTTTGCATGTCACTTTGAGACCATCCCATCTGGATAATGGCAAACAGTTACGTACACGGCTTCCACGAATTTGGTAGCCAATGTCGCACTTAAATTGGCAGCTTGTATCTATGGGAAAAGCTGCAAGATCGGGTCTTATTTCATACTGATCACTATCCTCGTGGTTGCATCGAATTCGACCATGTGGTGGTGCTTCCATGGCGGGACAGGTTTTTACTGTATATGAAAATAAATAATTGGTTATTGTAATTAGGAGAAATAATTCTTTTTTTATTACTTACAAAGACATTGGGGTTCGGTTCCTGACCAAACTCCACTTTTACGACATAGTCTAATACTGTCTCCAGTAAGGTAAAAGCCAATTTTGCATCTAACTCCGCATGCTGCATTGATGACGTTGTTGCATGCATTAGCTTTGACCAAATATCCATTTTCCGGGACCTTTAGCTTTGGACATGTTATTGCTTTAATAATAAAATATTATTTTATTAAATCAATTAATATCAGGTCATTATGTACATTTTTATCGTACTTCAAAGTTATTCGGCATAGTCATTTTTTCTTTGTTTACGGAGCTGTCGACTGCAAAGTAACCTTTTCAATTTTACTAGACTTTTTTAATTTTTTAATGAAAATATGGATCTACGAAGTGACAAGGCACAAGATTTTGTTGCTTTTGCGAGGAACATGATCGAGAATGAAAAAAAAGTTAAATCTATTCAGCTAAAGTGGTTTCGCCGATATCAATGGTTGTTCGATGAGAACAAGTAGGTGTGCACGAACTGAAAATATAATTGATAATTGGAAAAATCTATTTTTGTAGAAATGTAAAGGACGAGTTGAATAAACTGTTCAAAGAAAGTTGCGTTGCAGCAAGCATAGCTCCTGCGCAGGTCGAGGATACAAGATCTTGTCTTCCGGTACCGGAAACCACCAGCGGCATGGTACTTCCTGATAGAAACTATTTGCCATAGTATCATTACTTTGATATACATATATAATTTCCAGTATGGATGGCTTGCCATCAAACCTGAATTTCGTCTGGAAAAATATGGATCATACATAGTAAACTATCCTAACCCCATGGACGAAGTGATATTACTTCCAGGAGATATTCCAACACTGGCAGCTGGTAAAGGATTTTTGTAAGTTGCTAATATTATTTTTTAATCCACTGTATTATAAAATAAATCAAAATCAGTATATATAAAAAATATTTTCAATTCTGATCTCATCAACGCACCTTCGCATTTGTCTCCATTTGTTATGAAACCCGACGGGCAGACGCAGTCATCAGGTGACGTAGCTGGTACCTTGATGGTTATATGATTCACATCCGGACAGGATATACAAATTGACATGGCGTCACCGGGCGCATCTCCAACGCCATAAGTCTTGTTCGGGCATGCTATAATTACATTACAAATTGTTTTCACGTGAAAGATACAAAAAATATTAAAGAAAATAATTTCACTCACGTTGGCAAGAACCACGTAGTCCTGATCCAAAATATCCCTGAGGACAGAGACACGCATAGTGACCTGTTGCTGTACCGCAGGTACATGTTGCAAGATCATCACAGCATCCTCTGCTACTATTTTCTTTACTTTCGTCCAAGCATAGCGAGTCACAGTCTCCTGGAAATCCTACTGGTACATATTGACCAGCTTTCAAATCTATAAAAAAATATAGAATTAATACAGAACTGCTATTACAAAAAAAAATCAGCAACGGTTACGTACCACGATGTAGAGCTCGACGAGCCAAAGCTTCAAATTCAGGAAAACTGTCAAGCAGGTAACTGTGAGTATGTCCAGGTTCACTTGCAATATCGTGAAGCTCTTCGATATTACCGGTACGAATTCCAAAAGTCAAAACAGTCGCTCCAATATTTTTTAACAGATTAGCAACAGGACGAGGATCACCTCCGTTACTAAAGCCATCGGTTATTAAAAAAACTGCTTTTTTTGCTCCTCCTCGACTCTTCTCAAGAATTGACTGTTAACACACGTTCCTCTAACATTATTAATGATTAATTAATCTATAATTTCACATTACAAAACAATATTTAGTAAAACGGTATATTCATGGTAAATTTGAGCTATAATATATATATATATATTTTTTTTTTTCCTCAGTAAACTATCATCAGCTTAGACTCAAAAGTAATATAAAAGACTGCTTGAAAAATTTTTAAGTTAAAAGTTCCATCTATTCTCAATCATTTTTTACGGATTTTGAAATGTCTATATAAATTTATGGGAAACATAAAATACGAACAAGTGCTTGCAATAGAGCTCCACGCGTATACGTTCCTCCGCCACTGTAAGTGATATTGCCCAGCTGCTTGTTGAGCAGCTGGCATTTTTGATTACTCTGTCCGGTACGTGATATTTGATCAACATTGCGAAAGATACTTGTCTTGCCGGCAAAAGTAATCACTGCTACTTGGGTGGCAGCCGGCGCCACAGTGAAGTCCGACAGTAACTTCTTCACGAAATTTAACTCGCTTCGAAAGTTATCAAGACCGACAGATGCAGAGGCATCGACAAGAAAGACCAGTTCAACCTAAAAACAAAGTGACTCGAGTTATCACTAATGAAAAGTAGTATAAAATAATTAATCGTATTTCTGATCGAATAACCTGATCAGCTTCACGCAAATGATCCACGTGAATTCTTAGTAATCGCGAGAGAACATTAATTTTACTCTGTAACACTTCACTCGGATTATCCCAGGATTGACGATCAATAATCCGATGTTTCCTCTTGCGTCCAAAATTAAGAACCTCCGACGTACCGCTACCCTCAAATTCAGTATCAATATCCGACTTCGATCGCGCGGGTACCTTCACTTCTGACGTTTTCAAGAAATTCACAAAAAATCCAATAATCAACAAATAAATTGCAAACGTCTTTAATCCAAATTTTGACATTTTTATTCACGCTATCGATAATATATTCAAACCTACAATCACATAATATATAAAAGCACACTTCGAAAGATACGCTGGATCGTATCTTTTTCACGCGACGTCTTCACTGACACATCGAAGCTTATTGGAGATATTTCGGGCCAAGATTACACCGCTCTTCGCGCAAATATGCTTCAATCTGCCAATCCTTGATTCTCTAAGGTTACGAGAATTATCAATCTTCTCGATTATTATTTCCTCTCGATCTCTTATCAACGTATTCAACCGATACGTCGAGGCTATTTAAGACGAATGTCGACTGGTTCAGTGCCTCCAGAAAAGATGCATACAAGAACACCATTTAAAGACGTTAAAAAAGTTCGAGAACAAGGGACCATCTGTTCTGTTTATAAATGCGTTCACATACCTATATGGGTACATGAACGTTAGAAAGCGTAGCCTTATAATTTCCAATTTGAATATTTAAATATACTGTAATAATCGGAAATAATTGTTCGATTAATTCGCTATGAATCGATCCTTATGAAAATTTATCGTATGACTGTCCCGCAATCGAAAGTCTATAGTAGTATCGATAAAACGCTGTTCGAGAAAGGGCCGTGCGAGCAGGAAATAAGCGTCGACATTATTAAGCCGCGAGTTCAAAATCTTCGAAACGATGGGATGCTAAGGCGAACTATTTTCGTGCGTTAACGTGCATGACTGCATGACGCGTTTCAAAACTCTAGGAACGCTGCAGGGGAGCTGTTTTCGCGCGTAGTATTGACATTTCTCTAAAGCTGGGATACTTATCCAATCTCTAACGATATACTGCGCGGTACGTTCGAGGAAGGAAGGGTGTTATGTTTATTCTACGTGTGGGAGGGATGTTCAGACATGGTCCAGTACCGCAACTCAAGCTATCGGAAAAACGCCAGAACCCGTACACTTTTCAAGTGACCTGCGTCGCTTCAAGCTTACTCTCTGTTCGAATATAAATGCCAGGATGGCGCGTAAGTAGAACGGTTACCATACTACATTCTTTTTATTCACAGAAAGCCTTTGATTAATACTAGTTACCGTGGGATGACATAAGGGGCATGTTGATTTTTAGAAATATCTCCGTCACAGATAAAATTTTTAAAGGTTTCGATTCTGATATACAATATTATTGCCAAGTTAAATTGACTGGCACGAGAGAGAATTATGTAACGATGTTATTCATATTTTATCTTCATGTCGTAACATGAAAACTAATTGATACTTTGACTTTAAGAAAATATTCGTTATACCGTTTGATTAAATCATTTTTTTTAAATTTTAATAACTTATGTACGTTTTATTGCTTAATTCCTTTTGTATATGCGTCATTAGGTATGTATCACACGATGGATCTTCTCGTTCTGATCTTCATTCTCTTTATCAAATCAAATTGGAGTTTTGAAGTGGAGTCAATGGCGGGTGTACTGGGAGGGAATGATAATTTGAAAAAAACGAAGCGGCACGATGATATTGGTTATTTGGAACAATGCGGCGTTTTACATGCTTGGCCTGAAAAGTCAGAGCGGGTACAAGTTCTTGCGTTTTTGGATGCTTCCTGGTCACCCAGTCACACTCAAGCTGCCATGTAAGTACGTAGTTTTGAAACTCTCATCTTGCCTAGAGATATAAGGAAAAGAATACACATTTTTATCAGATCAAAGTTTAACACGTGTTTGTTATGCATTCGAAGCAAATATTATTATTCGTAGAATCGTATAATTGATAAGCAGCTGGGATCATTAATAAAATGACCATACCGTTGTCACATCTTATAGATCATCTCATAATGAATAGATATATTTTTTTAAAGCATCCTCTCTTTTTGAACAGACTATATTTGTTGATGAGTTATTTATATGTAAGTTGTAGAATTACAGGCATGACATATTCTTGAATTATGTTAAGGTTGAAACAATTAAAAGATCGTCTGGAAAGATCAAATATATCTGGCATTGACTTTTTCGCAATCAACGCAGCATTCGCGATAGCGCCGTCTACGGAGAAATCGCCGTTTGAGAATTCTGAATGGGATGATATCGCCGCAGCTGCACAGGTCAAAAAACAGGAAATGTCTATATATGAAGCGTTGACGGAGAATATCGTTACATTAATTCAACCAGACATTAAATTCATCCAAGATACTCCAGAACTTCAAATTTGGGATAAGTTGAAAGTCTCTAGAAATCAGATATTAGTGATAGATCAGTAAGTGTTTATCTGAAAATGATCTGCAATCGCATCTTCTGAAACCTATTGATATTTTATTTAAGAAAATTTTATTTTTAAATACTACTACAATTTTTTTAATCGAAACTTAGATGTGGGAGACTAACATATCAAGTTATAGTACCGTGGAGTATTCTGCAATTCCCATATGTGAAAGCTGCCATATTATCAACATATATGGATCAACCATGTGGACCGTGCGACGTGAGTATATACGTACCTACTTTCGTTTACATAGTAGTTTCACGAGATTGAAGAATTTTCAAAAATTATGTATTATTCTAATTTTAATAAAATTAATATATTTTTAGGTAGTGTCATCAAGTACGGTGGGCGCCGATTTAGTTGAGGGAACGACTGTGGATGATACCAATAGTCACAGAATATATATGTTAAATGAAAATCCTAGCAGTCTTGAAGATAATCAAAATGCTTCCAAGAGTACAATGAAGGTTTTAAATGACAATACAACTGATGAGAAAATAATGAATGACAGTACCATAGAAAAGCAATCGACTACACAATACAGTATAAATGAAATGTTGTTAACTACCGTACTGCCCACTGGAAGTTTTGAAACTGAAAACTCAGAATTTACCGATAACAAATCAATGGATATGACTACTACTATTTCCAGTACCGTTGATTATCCTGAAGCTAAAATCAAATATGATACCACGACGGAATATTATGTGTCTAAAACTACCAAAGTATATACGGAACATTTTAATGTAACAAATAATGATGTTAAAAACGTTACAGAGAGTACTGCTTTTACTGAAATCGTCGATGGAAATATAAAAACTGTAGCAAACAGTCATTCCATTTATGACGACACAGATAATCTTGAGCAACGTATTAGAACAGATCCGATGAATATAGTGGTGCCATTTAAAATGGATGATATGGGTAATGTCTATGGGGATGAAGCTCGTAATCAGGAATCAAGTCAGGAAAGTCAAGTATCCAGAACTTCTGTACAGCCTGAAGAGGAGGGTATAGTCGATACAGAGAATGAAAGTTTTGGAATACCAATTCGTATAATAATGTACGCTCCTCATCTACACGAGGATGATCATTCAATACGAAGACACGAGTATTTGGTATTGAAAACTGGACAACCGGATTATCACGAACATCTTAGTTCTGGTAAGACAATAAAGAATGCTGATGATCTTAAAGATTTCCCAAATGCGGGAATCAATATGGAGAATCCGATAGATAATGATACTAAAGAATCTCTTTATAAAATTGATGATAATGGAGAACAGTCTAAAGGTATCGAGCTATCTAAAGAATCAATTGAGGAACAGCATAGAAAACACCATGAGAAAGGGCAAAAGTTAAGTCGGCTTTTATTTGGAAAGGATGAGAGTCCTGGATTCTATGGAGAAGATGCAGACTATTGGAGAAATTATGGCAGTGAACAATCTTATGAGAGAATAGAGATCATCCGACCTAATGATGACCACGAATATTTGAAGGTATAAATACAGGATGTTTGTATATAATACAGATAAAGGTATTTAATTAAACTTATTGATTTTCATTTCAGGTAAAAGATGATCTAGAAACTACGAAACAAGACTTTGAACATTTTTGGACACAAGATGAATATTCGCCGGAACGAACGGACCCTCAACATGAATTTCTTGAAGAAAATATTAATCAAAGTAATTCAAACGAATGGATAAATACATCCGAACAAATTGTGCCATATCAAGAGAATATAAAAGGATCCGCAGAACAAAATAATGAAGATAAAAAAATAACGATAGATAATACTGATCAAAGTCATGATATTAATAGCAGCGAGGACGAAATAAGGAATAAATTAATAGCGCATTATAGTAAACTATTTCCCTGGATAAATTATGTTCTAAACAAATAAATAAAATATAATAAATCGAAGGTAAATATATTAATTATAAATAAATTATAATGAGTCTGTCAGATCTCTGTATTTTATTGCAGATCGTTTATAAGATTTAAGATGTTTGTTCATTGAATCAAATTGTATAGGCACCATCTTACCTCAAATATATTGTACATGTATGTATGTATGTATAAAAAAGATTAGAAATAGTTATTTAACTTTTTTCTTCAATGGTTAATGGCGGATGCTATATTCTTAATATTTGATCATACACGTTAAAATCTATAGCTCTTTCTTATTAGTCGTACCATTTTATGACAGTCTTTATCATCATGTGTTATACAGTTCATAATAAACAATAATTTGTATTATATGAACTTCATTCCTTAACATCAGTATCATCGGAATCAAGACTGCTGTCACTGCTACTACTACTCGAGCTGCTGCTGTCCGATTCTGTTTCAGAATCTGTATCACTGCTGTCCGATGAACTTGTACTATGTTTCCTTAACCTGAATAATAAAAACATGATGATTAATGAATAGTAGATAAAAATAGATTAAAACACTTTCAATATAAATCGAAGATCACATTTGAATGAGTTATTATGAATTCAAATATTGGTGCAAAAGTGCAGAGGGATTTTTGAATACGCAAAAATTGTTAGTAATCATTTAGAAAAGCTGTTTAATATGTTGCAAATTAGTTGATTCAACTCGACATGCAACAATCTCGAGACTCACACGTAATTTAGAAATTTTTTGCTTTCCATGGTGTACATGTACCTTCGGAACAAAACCAATGGATTTATCACGTGCGTACGATGTGCTATTTCATGGAAACGTCTGACAATAGTGTAGTTCGTAAATACTATTCTTTTAACTTACTTTTCCTTGTCATTTTCGTCGATCTTCAAATCAGCAACCTGTTCCACCATTCCGTGAACAGCATTCTCGATAACAAGGTCCTCTTCATGAACTGAATACGCAGCTGTTTCCAATTCTACCAGATCTAAACGCATTTGCAGTTTCTTCGGGTTTATCTAAATAATAATTATTTCTTAAACTCAGAGTTGTTCAACAAAATTATGTGAGTATAATACATTTATGTAATTTGTTATATAATGAGCATCTTACACCGTCTAACTCTGAATTGAGTGATTCGATCACAGAACTTGGTACTTGCTGTAGCCAAATCAAATAATCTTTTATATACAGTTGATTCAATATATATCGTGGTTCGTATGAAGTGTTGAAAAGACTGTGAATCTCACAGAAACGTTTAATGATATACTTCTTTCCTGTGAACGTGAAATGTTTGAATGAACGTAAAAATTTTATTCAAATACATACTCATTCCTTGAACTGATAAAAGCACTATTGAATTTTAAACTGACCTAATCTAATGACTGCTTTAACATCCTGGAACACTTTCATAGAGAGATTCCAATTTCTGTACAGTGGATAGCAAAGAGATCTTCGGATGCAAGCTGTTATAACTTCTTCCATATTGCTAAATTCCTGAAATTTATATTTTTTTATTCACATAGTGTACAATTTTTATACATATTTGCCTCTAACAAACCTGGAACCAACAAAGTGTAGAGCTCAATTTATTGATAGTCCATCCGCTTTCTACTGTATTATCACCCATAGTCACTCTGTAATTATAACAGTTGCCAAATAGTATGTCAACCATTCCACAGCAAACTTTTTGAATTTCATTTTCATCCAAGAGATATTCTTTATTTGGAAGTTCTTTGAGTATATCCTTTTCAGTTCCGTCTAATGAAATTTCTGTGTCTAATAATTTGTACCATTCAGGTTCAAAGGCAATGTATGCTTCAAGATATTCCTCCTGAATTAAATCAGCCATATAGTGTTCTTCGCTGAAACTTTCAAACTCATGTTTCTCTCTCAAGCATTTGCGTTCACTGGCAGGTGTAGCGTCAGGTAGGGGGAGATCTATAATTTCTCCAGTCCATGCTGCCTACAGTTTAATGATTGTTTGAACAAAAGATCATAATTGGTTATAGTTAATATTCTTACTACTTACCTCAAAGGCAGCAAGAGCTCCTGAAACTTTACTTGCAAAACCATACTTTGGTGAGTCGATGGAAAACAATGCATTATCTGATGGAACATTTTGTGGTACAAACCATTCATTTCCTTCGTTTGTAGATGTGTTTTCAGCAGTAGTTTCGTTTGAATTTCCATGTATACTATCTTCACAGTTTACGACAGGATTACCTGCATAATTTAGATAAAAATGCAATCATCTGTTTATGTTAGTTTTAACTTGCTAAATTAACTACGTACTTATAACTTCAATGGTTGGTACTACTGTAGTTTTCTTTTTAGGGGGTGCAAGTAGAGTTGTTATCATATCCAAATTTTCAAAGTGTTCGCCCACATGTACCTTAGAAAAACGAAAAACAAAATCTCCCTTTTCACAATCGTATGACCCAGAAGATGCATCGTTCTCTTCTATCTCACCGGGTAACTTTAATCTGCATAAAGAAAACAGGATGTTAATAATTAATATCGTTAGGAGTATCATATTAAAATATTTTTATTCATAAATAGTAATCGAATTACACCAGTACCGATAAAAAATTAAATATTATATTACTTGATAAGCAATCTTTCATTTACCGTAAATAATAGGGCGATGAGAAAAATCTGAAGTCAGTGCCATCAACATAGACTTCTGTATCTTTAATATTTGCATATGGAGCATGTACTGTTATTACAACTTCAGAATCACTTTGGGTTAACTCGAAACGTGGAGTTAACATGATTCACAGTTTATTTTAAAACAAGTATTATTTATTGTACTCGCAACCTTTACTCCAAACGATGAACAAGGTATGTTATCTATGTATCATAAAATTGTTTACATTTACATATTTAGAAGTCATAATTGGTTCATAAACATAGATACAATCCTGACATAAATTATACATTACACAAAAAGAATTCATTAATAAATAAAAAAAAAATTCTAATAAAAGTATCATCAAAGTTGATAAAGTTGTACAGTATTATTTAGGTTAACAAGTTAAAATAGAATTCACCTTAAGGACAAACCTTAAGTTTATATATTTATATTGGTTTTTCTTCCTTCTGTTAGTTTGGTTTTGTTACATATATCCTTTTATATAAATTTTACTTGCGCACGAGCTTGTAAATAATTTTTCACACGTCGAAAAATGTTTTGAATTACGCAGAATACAGGCACTGCGTACTGAAATAAAAACTGTAAAAACACACATGCATAAAATTTGCTAGCCTCGACAGTGCTCGACAGTTTACCACATAGAATACTACCAAGTACTAATAATTAAAATGACCGGAGTAAAGATCTTTATTAAAATTTATTTAAAATAAGGTCAGGATTTCTTGTATATTATATATTAATTATAAATTTAAGTATACTATATGTATATTTCCACACTCTTGAGGAGCAGTGTATTACATTACACATACTTTTGAAATTTATATTCACTACATGTCATGTGCTGCCATGTGCTCCATCAAATTTTAATTACGTTTCTCTTAAATCTTATATTTAGACCTTTCTGAAACTGCGTCTTATTTGTGTGACATAATTGCTTATAGACTTAAGTTTATGCGATTCAAATGTTGAATGAGAAAAAAGCATTCGACTCCACATGTTCGTTCAGCGGCACTTAACCTACACCGGCGTCTGGTGAGTATATAAAGTTTCATTTATAAAAAATTTGTACATTAAACAATTTACGATGTATATTGTAAATGATTAAGTGGCTTTGTTACAATGTGTACTATTTTTTATGTGCTGCATAAATATAATAAAAATATATATAGATGGTTATTACTGTAATTAGATTGGTATAATGAATATTTCCCTTTTATAGACTGTAATTGTGTTGAATTTTATCAACATCTGATTTATACATATAATACAACCAGTAAAGAACATTTCACATTATGAGTAAACAATTCAGACCTTCGTTTCAAATGTCTGTGAGACATTTGGATCCAAAACAGTTAATGTTTTCAATTTTCACTGTGGATGATATCAGAAATTTGAGTGTAACTAAAATCAGTACACCCTTGTCGTTTAATGTTCTGGGGCATCCATTAAGAGGAGGACTCTATGATCCAACATTAGGTATGATTGACATTAGTAAACAAAAGTAGCGTTATAAGTAGATTTAAAGATATTTAGAAGTATTTTATTATAATACACCAATACGTTTATTAGGACCTTTGGATGAAAAATCAGATCCATGTGGGACATGCGGGGGCAATAACATGAAGTGCCCTGGACACTTTGGCCATATAGATCTACCAATGCCTGTTGTGAATCCACTTTTTCACAAAGGATTATATATGCTAATAAAATTATCATGCTTATCATGTTTCACATTGCAAGTGCCAAAACATATAAAGCTATTACTCTCTGCAAAACTGAAGCTTCTCCAAGAAGGATTTCTTGGCGAGATTGATAATTTGGAACATGAAGTATTATCAGTAGTTCCTAGTACACATGAACTTCAAGATGGAGAATTAGAATATGTGCAGCAAGTTATTAATGCATATATACAGAATCTATATAATAGAGAAAGATTTAATTTAAACAATTCAGGAATGGCATTAGATAGCTTCAATACTAAAAATAACAACGTTCAATGGCATACACTCGTCGACAAAGCCCTGAAACAATTTACTGCTGGCAAAATATGTGTAAACTGTCGCCAACCAATCCTTAAGATCACAACGCTCAAGAATAAAATTATGACCATTAAACATGCCAACACCAGCATGGATGAGTATGTGATTTCTTTATTTTAATTCAATTCTTAATAAATTTATTCTCTAATAATTATTCTCTCTAAATATTCAAATAATCATAGGTCAGATGCTCGTGTTACGACGCATAAGCTAGAAAATGTTTTTATAATGCCAGACCAATCGAAGGAATACTTGCGGCAACTATGGCAGAATGAAAAAGATACTTTAAAAGTTATTCTACCATGTCTGGGTACGATAAACCTGGAATTTCCTACTGACGTATTTTTCTTTGAAGTAATACCTGTACTACCACCTATAGTCAGGCCTGTTAATTTTTTGAATGGTCAAATGATAGAACATCCACAGTCTCAAGTCTATAAGGCTATCATTCAGGATTGCTTGGTTCTCAGAAATATTATACAGACTATTCAGGATGGAGATACGAATAAATTACCAGAAGAAGGACGGGTATATTATACATTTTTACGCTGACGCTATTTCTATCCTATATAAATGCCTGATAACAGTTAGTTGTTTATAAAAACCATACTCCATCACATTATATTTCCAGATCGTATTTGAACAAATAAAAGGAAGCACTGCAGTAGAAAAATTGCATAATGCTTGGCAGACACTACAAGCAAATGTGGATCATTTAATGGACCGTGAGCTCAGTCGAACTACAGAATCCGCCAATTGTCAAGGACTAAAACAAGTTATTGAGAAAAAAGAGGGTATCATTCGTATGCATATGATGGGTAAAAGGGTCAATTTTGCAGCTCGTTCTGTTATCACGCCTGATCCAAATTTAAATATCGATGAGATTGGTATACCGGAAGCATTTGCTCTAAAGTTAACATATCCTGTGCCTGTGACTCCTTGGAACGTAACTGAATTGCGTCAAATGATTCTGAATGGACCTGACGTGCATCCTGGGTAAATTTACAGACAATATGATAAACTAACTTCCTATGGCAGACTGATAATTGAATTTCAAGATATGTTCTCGAATTATTTATAGCGCAGTAATGGTCGAAAGCGAAGATGGTTTTACAAATCGTATTGATGGAAATAATACAACTCAAAAGGAAGCGATAGCGAAGCGCTTGCTGACAACAAGTGGAAAGGCAAATAAATTTTTCCAAGGTATTAAAATAGTGCATCGACATTTAATTAATGGTGATATTCTATTGTTGAATCGTCAACCTACTTTACACAAGCCAAGTATAATGGCTCACAAGGCACGGATACTCAAAGGCGAGAGGACCTTGCGTCTCCACTACGCTAATTGTAAAGCTTATAATGCTGATTTTGATGGCGATGAAATGAATGCACATTTTCCGCAGAACGAACTCGCACGGAGCGAAGGATATTTCATAGGTATTGAATTGAAAATTTATAAATCATTTCATACCTGATATAAGTTTTCTATAATCTTTTATCTCTCTAGCTAATGTATCGAATCAGTATCTTGTACCAAAAGACGGAACTCCTTTAAGTGGTTTAATTCAAGATCATATGATTTCCGGAGTTCACCTAACAAAGAGAGGGCAGTTTTTCACAAGGTATAAACTAATATATATGTATATATGTAATATATATATATATATATATATATATATATATATCTGCAGTCTACAATTGTAATAACCATATTTGGATTATAATATATCAATTTCAGGGATGATTATATGCAACTGGTTTATTCAGCGTTATCAGTTGTACAAGGGGAATTAGTATTGCTTCCACCAGCTATTATAAAACCAATTCCTCTTTGGTCCGGAAAGCAAATTGTATCGACTGTCATTATAAATATTACCCCTCGTGGTCAAGCTAGGATTAATTTGAGTGCTGGTGCCAAAATAAATGCGAGAGAATGGCAAATTAGAAAACCGCGACGCTGGAAATGTGGTGTCGAATTCAAAGATCCCAAAACTATGTCTGAGGCTGAAGTCTTTATTCGTGGTGGAGAATTACTTTCTGGTGTCTTGGATAAAACTCATTACGGAGCCACTCCTTACGGTCTTGTACACTGTATTTTTGAAGTACGATACTAAAAATTCATTGGCATAAAGACATCTGTTTGATTTAATTTATTAAATATTAATTTTTGTGATTTCTTTTAATAGCTTTATGGAGGATCTTGTTCTAGTAAATTACTAAGTGCTTTTGGCAAGCTCTTTCAAGCTTTCTTGCAAATACACGGTTTTACCTTGGGAATTAAAGATATTCTGATCCTGCCAGATGCTGATAAAAAACGCAAAAATATCATTAACAAATCCAGGAAGGTATGTATTAAAAATAAATGAGTATCTTTCTTAGATAGAGAGGTTGATATTATACTTATTTCTGTTTTAACTTAAAAGATAGGAGAGGAATTACAAAAAGCTGTTCTTGAATTACCAGAAGATACGCCAATGGAGGTGGTAACAGCAAAAATGGAAGAAAACTATGGAACAAATCCGAAGTTCCGCACTCAGGTCGATAGGAAGTACAAAACTGCTTTAGACGTTTTTACAAATGACATTAACAAAACATGTTTACCATCCGGTCTTCTGAAAAAATTCCCAGAAAACAATTTACAACTGATGGTTCAATCTGGAGCTAAAGGTTCCACCGTGAACACTATGCAGATATCCTGCTTACTGGGACAAATTGAATTAGAAGGGAAGCGTCCACCCTTAATGATTAGCGGAAAAAGCTTACCAAGCTTTCCCGCCTTTGATCCAACTCCAAGATCCGGTGGTTTTATTGACGGACGTTTCATGACAGGAATTCAACCTCAAGAATTCTTTTTCCATTGTATGGCCGGTCGTGAAGGTCTTATCGACACAGCCGTAAAAACAAGTCGTTCGGGATATCTTCAGAGATGTCTAATTAAGCATTTAGAAGGACTGGTTATTAGTTATGATTCAACGGTACGAGATTCAGATGGTAGTTTAATTCAATTATCCTATGGAGAAGATGGTCTAGATATTCCAAAGTCTCGATTTTTGAGAAAGGAGCAGCTGGGGTTCTTGGTAGACAATAAAGACGCCATTATCGATCGTGATCTATTGCAACATCTCAAAGAGACTTCAGATGTGCATAAGATTTTAAAGTTAGTGAAGAAGATACGCAAATTTACCAAAACGAACAATGGAATTACCAAGAAGAGACGAGAAAGTGAATTCACAAAGTTCTCTGCTACCGACTTTGGTATCAATCCGATGAGATATAAGAAGATTGACGAAAATACTGGCAGAAGTAAAGCTGCTTTGTCTATAATGAAGAGGTGGCTAAAGTCTGATCCAGAAGTGAAAAATTCATTCAAATCACAGTGTGTTCAGTGTCCTGATCCCGTGACATCGAAATATAGACAAGATTTGGAATATGGTGTTCTCAATGAAAATATCGAGAGCCTTATAAGTGATTATATGTCAGATAATATTGGCAAAGCTTCTGCTGTTATCAACAAAAAGGAATTAAGAGATCTCCTTTGTGTAAAAGTAATGAATACACTTTGTCCACCTGGTGAACCAGTGGGTTTATTAGCAGCACAATCCATTGGAGAACCTTCTACTCAGATGACATTAAACACTTTCCATTTCGCTGGTCGTGGTGAGATGAACGTTACACTGGGTATTCCGCGATTAAGAGAGATTCTAATGATGGCTTCGAAGAACATTAAAACTCCAAGCATGGAAATTCCTTTCAAAAAGGACTTACGTAATGTGACAAGACAATCTAACAAGTTAAGACAGAAGTTAACGAAGTGCGTGGTATCAAATGTACTGAGAAATATAAAAGTGGAAAGAAAAATTGAGACTTGCCCTCAGCGGCAACTCACGTATAGCTTGACCTTTGAGTTTCTACCCCATAAAAGTTACAAGGGTGAATTCTGCATTAATCCAAAACACATCCTAGAAAAGACCGAAAAACTATTCTTCACGGTAATGTTCCGAGAGATCAAGAAAATTGCAAAGCTATCAGGAACGACAATGTTACATTTTGAGGAAGATAGAAAACGCACCAATGAAGAGGATAGTAGACTTGACGATGATGATCCAGACGATGATCTATCTTCAAAACCAAATCCTCGTTCAGACCTGGGTGAATTGCACGAATCTTCTGATGAAGATGAAGCTGCTGAGGATGCGGATGCTACTGCAGCAAGAACAATGTCTAGGCATAAAGAGAATCAAGAGTATGAAGATCCCGAAGAAGAGGAAGTGGAAGATGCTGCTAATGAAAATGCTGATGAATCGCAGTTTGTTGAAAAGACAAAGACTACACAGAAGGAAGAAGAAGAAGAAGAAGAGGAAGATAAAGATGATGAAGACCCAATGGCTGATATAAAAAGTGATCAGAAAAAAAGAGATGTTATAAATATGTATCCGAATGTCACAGAATATGATTACGATAATCAGAAACACGTATGGTGTAAGCTTACTTTTTGGGTAAGTAGACTTAAGTATATTGACTTTATAAAGAGATTACATAATTTTTTTTTCTTGCAGTTACCATTGAAACTCACTAGACTAGACTTGTCTACTGTATTAAGAAACGTGGCAGATAAGGTAGTACTGTGGGAAACACCCTGTATAAGACGTGCTTTTACATTCCAAAATTCAAATGGTGAAACGATCCTCAAAACAGATGGTTTAAATATAGTGGTATGTATGTTTAAAGGAATATCTAGGAAAATAAGCTAGTTAATTTATAAATTATTAAAAATTCTTGTAAATCAATTGGTATTCTCGGTTGTGTAGGAAATGTTCAAATACAACAAGATACTCGACCTGCAAAAGCTTTATTCCAATGACATTTACGGAATTTCACAAACGTACGGTATCGAAGCAGCGAATAGAGTTATAGTCAAGGAAGTAAAAGACGTGTTCAAAATGTATGGAATTACTGTGGATATGAGACACTTATTATTAATTGCTGATTATATGACTTTCGATGGAAATTATCAGCCACTTAGTCGTAAAGGAATGGAAGATTCAGCTTCGCCTTTGCAACAAATGAGCTTTGAAAGTTCTTTGAATTTCTTAAAAAATGCAACTCTACAAGGTGAGCGATAACGTTAATTGGATTCGTACTCATCGTCTATAATACTTGCTTAATTCTTTGATTAATATGTGCGTGTTTATTTATTTAGGAAAACAAGATGATCTTGTTTCTCCATCAAGTCGATTAATGCTGGGTCAGCCTTGTAGGTCAGGAACTGGAGCATGCTCTTTATTGATGAAGATGCAGTCTGACAAGTTTGCAACAAATTATATGTCCGTGGGTGGCTGATTTACTATTATTGATAGTATGTATGTTATTGCAGATTAATAATAAATGAAAGTTAGTTTTCTTTGAAGAGTATTATTGTTAATATATCTTTAAATTATTACAGTGGAATCTCTCATAGTTTACGGCAGGCCAAGGATAGGGACACCTTAACATTGTCACTGATCACGAGTTCGAGAGTACAACCATTTCAAACTCGTGATTCGTAATTCCCTTAGCTTCCATATTCCTATATTATGCAAGCTGTGAGATAATCCACTGTACCACATATTTGATTTCGTACTGTTCGACACGCATTTACTTATTATTCTCCTTCCTGGAACGTAATGGCACATTTGCATCATCCGTTAATTCATCACTAACATCATTTTTCGTGAAGTGAGATATAATTCCAGCTCCCAAAGCATCTGCTATAATATTTACTGTCGTCCTAAAGCGATCCCTGTACAAGTTCGATTAAATTTATTATCTGACTCACGAGTCATAAGCAATATTATTTATTTGACTCACACTAGACAGTCAATGGCGATTATGAGTGTAACGTCTTCAGCAGGAACTCCAATAGAATTTAATATCGTAACTAACATAACATAGCCACCATTTGGTAATCCTGCTGCACCAATGCATGATATTGTACAAGTAATACTGAAAGAAAATTAAATAATGAATAAATGCAGCCTATAATATTTAGTATAGTATGTACGAAAACGTGTACCTTATAGCTATAATTCTGCTCAATGAATACTGTAATCCTCTTAATTGTATTATGAAAATGGCACCAATTGTCTCATACAGTGCGATACCATCCATATTTATTGTAGCTCCAATAGGAGCCACAAATCTAGAAACTTTGCGATCAATCCCAATATTATCAAGGCACCGTAGCGTTACAGGTACCGTTGCAGTGCTAAAAAATTGTAATATCTGTTATAAATTAATATCTTCCATGCACTATTTCATATAAGAATCATATAGAGACACCTTGATGATGTTCCTAAAGCTGTTACTAGGGCAGGGCCTATTTTTGAAATAATCTTGTACGGCGACTTGCGGGTACAAATGAAGTAGATCATGGGCAACGTCACTAAGCCATGAACTAATAGACCAAAGAAAACTGTACATACGTAAACGCCCAGTTGTGCCATCATTAATCCAAAATCATCAATTTCCAATATTTTTCCAGGAATAAGGAACACAACACTGATCGGAGCAACCCTAATGTACAACATTCACTGAACATTATTCCAATCCCGTCATTATCCAAAATTCAGGTACTAATTTATATGACAACTGTCTATATAACGTCTGTACATTATCACCCAATTCATGATGATCATCGTCACTTCGGACAGTGCGTGAAAAAACATTAACAATGGTTTCGCCTCATCACCCACTTTTCCTAATCCTATGCCAAGCAGTAGACTAAAAAACACAAGTCCGAGTACATTGGTTCCTGGTATGTACTGATGGGAAATGGACCATTCGTATATTGTAGATACTGTTAAGAAATATAATGAGGATTGCATAATAATCAATTCATTAAGAAAAAATATTTAATATACCTGCACTGATATTTTTTGGTTCCTCCAATACAGTTTGATACTAAAAGACCATAACAACTTATGAAAAACATTGATAAATGTCAAATTCGTAAAGTCACATGAGCGTTACGTAACGAAAGAAAATTAGACTCACCTGGCTCATACACGCTTTTATTAAATTATCAGGAATTAAATTACTGGAAAAAGATTTTCATGAGATATTAAAACACTATGTGTTGCAATTAAACATTAATTACCGAAGTAAATCCAAAAGCGTATCAGTCGTGACATAATTTCTTGTTGTCATAGATATAGTTGCATTTACTTTCCTATGTAATTCACCAGGTCTTATCGTCTGAACGAGAATGACGCTCCAAATTATACCAACAGTTGTTGTTGTTGTATAATAATATAATGCCTTCATTCCAATACTCCCTGTGCTCCAAAAATAATGCAAATAAATATTTTATTAAATCTTATTGACATTATGTCACTTGTGCTTACATTACCTGATTTACTAAGATTACAACTAGCACTGACAATACTGGAAACGACGAGCGGCAGAATTAAACAATTAACCATCCTCAAAAATATTTCACCGGGAATTTGTAAGTACATTATTTCTCGTTGCGTCCATGGTTGATGCGTAAAATTCTTTAATATCAATCCAATAGTAACGCCACAACCGATTCCCACGATAGTTGCAAAAGTTAAACGATGATTTTCCACACAGGATCTAAGTTTATCCATCGTGCATAAATGCAATCTTTGCTTACACCTTCGCTTATTGTACTACAGGTAAAATTAATTTTGCTTAATAAGGGAAACAAGCGTAAGTGTACTAAGTTGGTACTTTAATACGGTGGGTTGTCACGATATCACATCATGATTTATTATTATAGATAATATTTATGGGTTTCATTTGCTTAGATGTTAATTCAATAAACCATCACGTATACTTATTATCACTACGTATATATGTCCGTGACTCGTCGACTTCGTCACAGAAAACACAATGAGCATAATCAAACGTACAGATTACAGAAGTTTGCGCTTAATAAAAAATTACACGTTCCAAATGCTGACTTACGGTGGTCAGCATTATAACGCGAATAAAGATAATAATATTCTGATTGCGAAGAAGACTTATATGAGAGCAAAAGAGGTACAAGTGAATAAGTGTCTGACATGGTTCATTAAAAGAAAAACGCTGAGCAAAACGTGCCCGTTGTTTCTAATAAGAAATACCGCCACCGCGTGAAATCAAAACAGAGACTACACGCTTATATATTGCAATCGATAAGCAAAGAAAGTGGCCGTGTGAACCATTTGAGATAACGGTTTATTATTTGTATAATGATAATATAAGGTAGAGCGTGTGAAAAATAACGAATAATGTCGAACTTGATTAACATGAACTGTCATTTGAATAGAAGCGTAATAATCTAAGAAGAGTAATAATTTTATATATAATTTAATAATTAATTGGGTTCAATCGTAGTCGTTTTAAACAGTATCAAAGCATGCCTATGAACGTGTTTTAAAATTTTTAAACAGGATGCTTCACGCTACTGACTACAGTCTTCTGTTATTTGAAGTTTCATATTGAGTAATCCTGTGGCAGTGGTACTCAAATCGTTTGATCCACGTGTCCATCAGAGATGAGTATGTAGGGAGATGCATAACGCTACGGTTTTAGGCGATACCGACGATACCAAAAGCATGGCGCTAAATCGTAGCGACGGGTCCGGAAGTAGCAGCTATAAGGAAAGGAAAGGAAGGGTCCGGAAGTAGGATTTTGTCTTCATCCGTAAAATCTAAAAGTTTCTCTTTGAACCTTTCTTGGCCGTTTCAACGTTTAATTTACCAACGGGTTTCGGCATTCATTTTTTAATGTTCATTTTCGGCGCGATAAGAGGTAAAGAGTGAAAACCAATATTTCTTTGCATTTTTTTATGTAACTTTGAATTTTATTTGAATACACATTTGTTGCGCATTACGTTCATACATATGTTCAGGGTTCGATTGGACGAAAAACCTAGCTGCCCTGCATCGACTGGAAAGATGATTATCACCCGCGCGACTACAGCGGAATCTGTAACGTCGACAGAGTCGATGATCACAGAATCTTACTTCCGGATTCGCCGCAACGATTTAGCGCTATGATTTTGGTATCGCCTAAAACAGAGATGAATAGGGAGATGCACAACGCTACGATTTTCGGCGATACAAAAATCGTGGCGCTAAATCATAGCGGCGAGTCCGGAAGTAGGATATTGTGATCATCGCCTCCGTCGACAATACGAATCTCGTCGTAGCCGAGCTAAACGGGAACACGAACGCGTAGCTTGGCGGAAATCCTTAGAACGAGCCCGGGAACTATAGAACTTCTCAACAACTGTTGAAAAAGCCTATTGTTGAAATATTTTTACCCGACATCAATAAGTGCAACTTTGTGGGACATTTTTTACTGCTTTTCTATTCGGCTGAGTAGTATTTAAATTATTCAAAGCGCTACAGCGCAAACGGATCTCCAATCGAGTCGTTCTAGTACGTGTAAAAAGACTGTGCCAAGTACAGGAGTGCTGTGCATTTCTCTCACAAAAAATATTGAAATCATATTAATAATGCCAAGTACATAAGTCACTACATATCTGCTTATTATATGATCCAGCACTAGCCCACCATTTTAATTGTATTTTCAAAATTTCATATAATGTCTTCGCTATAATATAGCACATAGTATACTAGGTACTAAATAATATATTTTTAATATACGAATGAGTCAAATGTTTAGTAAATAATATTCCAGAGTCAACTGTAAGCACAACCGAAATCCGAACATTGACGACTGTTTCCGAAGGCAGCGCTCGGTGGTGAGTACACGTAAATTGGGATGGCTGCCTGTGACGCAGGGGACGTATCGGCTCGGGGCCTTCATTGTTCCTAGACCCATCCATCTAGTCTTACCTACGGGGGTATACTTGCTATACTTATAACTAACAGCTATTCTTAAACGACTATAAGTAAAGTTCAATTAATTCATATACTCATCTATTTACAACCTACGTACAAACAGTCTGATTCTTTAATTTTACTCAAAGAGACATTTCATTAGTATTAGAAATTTTCAAATTTGGTAAAAATATTTCAACAATAGGCTTTTTCAACAGTTGTTGAGAAGTTCTATAGTTCCCGGGCTCGTTCTAAGGATTTCTTTGGGAAACAGCGGTGAGTAGCGGAGAACCTCTGCCCGCCAAGCTACGCGTCCGTGTTCCCGTTTAGCTCGGCTACGACGGGATTCGTATTGTCGACGGAGGCGATGATCACAATGTCCTACTTCCGGACTCGCCGCTATGATTTAGCGCCATGATTTTAGTATCGTCGAAAATCGTAGCGTTGTGCATCTCCCTATTCATCTCTGCCTAAAACCGTAGCGTTTTGCATCTTCCTACTCAACTCTGATAAAGTGGCGGCCGTAGCCCAGTAGATAGGATAGCGAATTCACGACCAAAAGGTTGGAGGTTCGCACCCAGCTTCCAGCGGCATTCACCAATGGGTTTTCATATGAAAACTTAAATGAGTATTTATACGGATTTCGCCCAACACTGTTCGGATTCGGTGTATAAACTTTGTAGGTCCCCTCCTGCTGAGTTGAATAAGGCCCGTCTCGCAAGGTACATCGCCATCTATTGTCGAACTTCCAACCTTGATTTTTAGGACCAGTTACTGGCACATGTCCCCCATTGGGGATTCAGCCATAAGGAAAGGAAGGAAGGATCTCCCTATTCATCTTTGTTTCAATCCTCTTCTATGTGAGTGAATGTCATGTTCAGTCATGTTCTAATCATTGACTCACTGTTAAAATATACTTATTGGACTGAAATTTTATTAATTTGTAACAAAATTTAGTTATACATTAAATGAATCTATGAAAATTAATACAACGAATATCGTCTCATGGTAATTATATCGTATGACTATATTTCATGCCTTTAATTATTTTAAAGGGTATAATAACCTACTACTGTTACTTCATTCATATGATATTGTTTCAAACAATATTGCTGTGCGAGAGTCACATGATGCATATTTTTTTTATTTCTCCACGTGATAAAAAACATATACATATACGCAACTATTAAACATTGAATATTGTTAACGTTTTTATTCATTATTTTAATATCAGTTTGTTTGGATAAAATATATGCTTTGTTGTAAATATCGATCTTATATTTTCCTGTATTTCTCTTTATAAAGCAGATAAAAGCGACAAAATGCGTACAATTGTGGCATTGGTCACAGTGCCACTATTTATTGGATTTGCTGCAGTAATTGCATCAACACCTCCATCGCTAAATCCCATAGTTTATATAGGCACATATGATAAACTTTACAATTTGACTGTCAATAGCACTGTAGAATATGTTTTGTTATATATGGAAGATAATGTAAGTATTATACCAAGTTTCTGGTTGTGGATATCAAAATCATTAATTAGTACTTATCTTGAAATCTTTAAACAATGTAGGAATCTTCAACGGGAGCACGTATCAATGTGCAAAGCTTTGCAACCAATGATCTTCCGTTAATTGTGGTGGTTCGCCAAAAAAAGGGAATTTTGTCTTGGCAATTGCCACTGCTAGTACAAAATATTCATACCAAAACACTAGAGTACAATAAAACTGCCCGAACACTGTGTCCTACAAAGTATTATCAATATGGTCTATCAAACCAGACAGAATTTGTGACAGTTAGCATTTCTACTGCAAGCATTAGCAACATCTCTTTTAATTTAAATGTCTCTCATGTGGAAGATTTTTATATCGGGTTTGTAACAATCACTTATTCCTGCCATGTATTATTAATCCTGTTATAACTCATTGTTGTCTATTTTTATAACAATATAATTTAGACTCGGAGAAGAGAGAAAAGTTGTAATATCTCCAGCAGAGCCCATATACTATGGATATACGTTTTCTGATGATGTAGAAAGCTCATCCGTTGTAGTACAATTTGAATCTGATAGTGATGTCTGTATGACAGTTTCCATACAGAACACAACAGTAAATATTTAGTTGTACTTCAAAATTGAACAAACATTTCAAAATTAGTTTAACCATTATTTTTATTACTAGTGTCCTGTGTTTGATTTGGAACGAAATATTCAGTTCTCTGGATACTGGCAAACTGTCAGTCGAAAAGGTGGAATCACTGTACCGGTAACAATACAATTCTCAAATATAATAATCTTTAAAGAAGCTTCTTTCATATAACAGCATTGATATTTCTTTCTTTAGAAAGATGCATATCCATCTGGATTCTTTGTGGTGCTAGTCGTGAAAGGCGATGATACTGATTGTACTGGAGTCACATCGTTATTTACCTCCCGCCACAAAAATGTTACATTAACTATTAAACCCAGCATCACCAAAAAAGATTACATAGTAGCATCATCCATAGTCTTATCAATGTTTATGGGCTTCTGTATATTCTATATAATCGGAATTGCAGTTTTTCAAATTAGGGAAGGTCGAAAATTACGAGAGCAACTCTTGAGTGAGCATGACGATCAAGATGGGAATGAGCACATATATAGTCCATCAGTTACAGAGGTAAGTGCAATAGTTAAATAAAATCTTTTCCTCGTATATAATAAATTATTCCATCTTTGCAATATATAAATGCTATTGCCACAAGACTCATTAATAATTATTTATTTATTTAGACTGGTCCTAGTCAGTGGCCTTCGGTAGATGAAGATTCCTCGCTAGATGAAGACGATATTGATATACTAGAAGATGCCTTTGTTGATAAAGAAGTTATCCGTACAAAACTTGTTTTATCAGTTTGTGATTTGGCTAGGAAAGATCCAAAAATCTTAAGGCATAAGTCACACTTGTATCTCTACTATTTACTCACCGTTACGGTGTTCTATACTTTACCAGTGGTCCAATTAGTTATCACGTATCAGCGTGTTTTACACGTCACAGGAAATCAAGATTTATGCTATTATAATTTCCTATGCGCCCATCCATTGGGGGTACTGTCAGACTTCAATCATGTCTTCTCAAATTTTGGCTATGTTCTACTGGGTATGTTATTTATACTGATAACGTATGCAAAAGATAAAGCGGAACGTAACGTAGAGAGGAACAAAAGTTACGGAATACCACAGCACTATGGATTGTTTTATGCTATGGGAATAGCACTTATGATGGAAGGAATTTTATCAGGAAGTTATCACGTATGCCCAAATCATAGCAACTTCCAATTCGGTATGTAATAATCCATAATAATATCGTAATAAGAATAATCTTTTATGGTACTAGAGTTACTGTAAAGAAATATGTATTCTTAATTCTAGACACAAGTTTTATGTACATCATAGCTGTGCTCTGTATGGTAAAAATTTATCAAGCACGTCATCCCGATATAAATGCACGAGCGCCCGTGACTTTTGGAGTATTGGCGCTTACTTTATTCGTTGGTTTAATTGGTGTATTGAACGGCACCGATTATTTTTGGATCATATTTACAATAATACATTTGAGCGTTTGTCTTGCATTAACCGCTCAGATTTACTATATGGGTCGATGGCGACTAAACGGTGGAACAATTCGTCGTGTTATAATGGTAAAACTACAAATTAATTAAGCAACCAAGTAATATTAATGCCAATCATTAACAAATTACTTAAAAAGCATCGAATTATCTTTTAGACAATGAAACACGACGCACGTGCTGGTATAATCTATTTGCTACGTCCTATGTATTGTGGACGATTAATATTATTAATTATAGCAAATCTTTGCAACGTGGGTCTGGCCGTAGTTGGGAATATGCATCACGAAAAGGATTTCGCAACCTTCCTGTTGGCAATACTAATGTCGAACTTGATTCTATACACCTTTTTCTATATAATAATGAAGGTATGTAATTTTGTGGTAAATTCCTTATAAAAGTTTAAACTACATTTTTCCATTTTTTTCAGATATGCCACAAGGAACGAATATTAATTAAACCATTCATCTACATTTTTATATCCTGCCTAACTTGGGCTGCAGCTCTATACTTCTTTATTCGCAAATCAATATCCTGGGCCCTTACGCCTGCACAATCTCGAATTTATAATAAACCTTGCGAGTTGCTTAACTTCTTTGATTCGCATGACATTTGGCACTTTGTTTCTGCGTTGGCCATGTTCTTTTCATTTATGGTACTACTGACATTAGATGACGACCTCGTCGACGTGCATCGAAGTCAAATTCCAGTCTTTTAGATATAATTATTTTTACACTCTCTATAATACAATTGTTATACGTATTATTGAATTGAATAATTGTACACAGAATATGTTCCGAATCAGAGTGCATTTATAAATGCACTCGTTCGAAGGATTAGCTTCGTAGAGGATATATCGTTTTTACTAAAGCTTTATATCATTGTACATATAACATAGACGTGTAAATCAAATGTAAGACTTCGTTATAAACCTGTTATTTTCGTTCTTATATAACGATATACGTGCTGCATTGAGATTTCACGTCTTCGGCTGTGAGAATTTCTAGAAGAAAGTTGTATTGCATTGCGATGTTTTATATTCAGCAGTCTGCATATATAAAATTTGTACTAATTCGTGTTAATTAAACTAATTATTATAGATAATGAAATTATAATGAAGAATATATGAATGACATTACCGTGTTGTTGTATGTAGAGAAACGGCGCATGTTTCCGACTTGGAACCATAAGAAAGGATGATAATGTAGAATAAACAAGACTTATTTTTTCTAGAAAATCAATGCTTTGGAGCATATCCTGTGTACAAAATTGTATTACACCTTTAAGACGGACCATTGAAATAATCGCATACTGAGAAAGTACTAGGAGCGTTTGTACATATATCAGGACGTCAAAGTAAATTAGCATTGTGTGAAGATTACTTGGAGTTCCTTTTAAATAAATATATGAGAAAAACAAAATAATGAAAATAAAAGATTTGGTTGAATCTGAATTGTCTTTAGTAAATGTACAAGGTCGCCTAATAAATATCTTACACTTTCTTCTAAAAATAAATATATAATCTCTCTATATTCTCAGTTACACGCATGATGTTATTACATAATAGAGATGTACAAATTATCGTAATCGCTAGATGGCATTAATGATATCAAATTATTCATCAATATCATCAATGTCAACAGATGATGGGCTATCGAATCGTTCCTTTCTGATAAGAATATTCATTCTAGACAAATGTAAAATTTGTAAGGTACTACAAGTTCCTGAAAAGTTAACATTAATAATGAGATATATCACAAAGTATTTGAACAAATAATATGCACTAATAGAGATACATACACCAGGTATATCGGGATACGAAGGAAATTTGTGATATGGACAGAGTTAAGACGAAGAACTAGAATCGTTGTGATGTTCTGGACCGGAAGCTTCCAATTGAGATAAAGTCCGTAGCAGTTCGGCGCGTTCTGCAGGTTGCAATCTGTGCGCAATTTCGAGAGCAGCATCCAGCCTAACTTCCGGATAGTCTTCGAGCGATTCCTTGATTCGGGTCACTAGAGCGTCTCGTTTTACGCAATTGATATTGCGCCTCATAACACTGCCTTCATTATTTCTTTGAATTTCCAACCAAGTTGCAGCAGCTTCATCTTGATCCCAAAGGTAGGATTCGGTGGCTCCTTTGTCCTCGACAAACCAGCGTCTCAACATCGCATCGATTGCTCTCACTGCTAAGGTTGATTGCGTTGACAATATTTCACACTTGACCTCCTCCTCGAGAAGTTTACGTTTGAGTCTCCAGTAAAGGAGCCGACGTGCACTCCTCCATGGAATGATTTCCTGAATAGCTCCTTTTTCTAACATACGTTCAGGAGTATCATGAAGATCTGCAAAGTGGACAGCTACTGTGTGGTACATCGGCTCCAAGAACTTTTCTCTGTTGCGAATTTGAGCCTCTATATCTGCACGTTCTTCACTGGAGATTGTGCCTGTGAGTTTTTCCTGAAATTTGTATTAAATATTTATCCTTAAGCAATGTTAGACAACGTCATGAAAAAAGATGAATGAATAGTAGTTACCTTAAGGCTAATGATGATTGAATCTACCCTGTGCATCGTCTTGAGAATGTCTTTACTCCTAAACTTAATTTCTACGATTCCTTCAGCCTCCAGCACACCTCCTCTGCTTGTGGTATCAGCAAACATTTCCATATGCCGTGGATTGATAGTGGGATCTACCACACCCCAAGATCCTCCTCGGAGCTCTCCACTTGGTGGAATGTATATGAAAACTGGCTTCGTGTACTCTCTCAATCCATCCACGATGTATGCGCCGAATTTTAATATTTGTTCGTACATATCTTGAAGAAGAAACATTTTACAAGTTAGTATACGAATTGTGCTAATTATATGAACGGATATTCCTTGATTGTCTTACCTTTCATACCACCAGAAAATCCACGCCAGTTGGCAAATATGAATAATGGCAGCTCTTCCTTACCGAAGTTTTTAATTGCCTCAGCAGTTTTGTATGCGCTATCAGGGTACCATACCTGTCCAGCTTGAGAAACCGTTTTAGCCTCTGAATCAAGATTTGCAGGATCAGCTGGAAGATGTAATTCTACAGTTCTCGTTTCCACGGCTATTACACCGCATGGAATTCCGCCAAGTCTTGCACGTCCTGTTACTACAGTTTGTGCCCACGGTCTCATAATTTCCTGAAAGCAAATTATCATTCTAATAAATCTATCAAAAATTACGCTGAACAATGATTTCTATTGATATGAATATAGCTTCAACTTACAAGCCAAGATCCCCGATCGAAGAAACCACTTTCCCAGGTTGAAGAGTCGTTCGATGAAATTCTACCATCGAGCATCCATCTTGGATCGTACGGTGTTTTTGTAGGCAGAAAGCCAATTTCCCTGTCAATTGGATCGGGATGTGGTGCAGGAAGGATAGGAAGTGATGCGCCTTTAACTTTAGGAACATAGCTAAGCCATCTTAGTGCAGTCGCCACACCATCCGGATCTCTTGGATCCGTGGCATGAGTGACACCATTGTTATACATGATCTGTGTTCCACCCAATTGGTTATTACTGGCGTATACTTCACGACCCAAAACAGAGTTCAACGCTTTGTAACCAGTCAGAACTATATGTGAATTTTCAATTTGAATAAGTCTCTGGCCCAGACGTACCAGGTATGAACCGATACCAATTGCACGACATGACACTATCGATATCGTAACTACCTGTAAAGAAAAGTATAATGTTAAACAAGTGGAATACTCCAATTATTATGTAAGTCTTACGTTGGCAAAACCTATCACTTACCTGTTGGTATGCCCTAGATGTTTCACCAGCTATCATACCAGCGAACTTGAGATTTTCAACACCAAGTCCATCATCCTTGCCAATGATATCTGTAATTTTATAACGTGATTCGCCATTCGGTTCTTCAATCAAAGAAGCCTTTATAGAGTTGAGTGGTGCCAATCGAGCATAGTCGTCGGGTGTTAGATAAATATATCGGAAGCCTTTTTCTGGTTCGTTATCATCTTCCCATGCAATGCGGAACACAGCTTTGACCTGAAAAATGGTTCATATAAATTATGTAATTAATCATGATTTTTGTATAGGCAGTAGACGAGGAATGCAAACAAAATAAAGCAAGACAGATTGTACCTCTTCAGCCATACCAATACGAGCTCCAGAATTTGCTGAAAAGTAAACTCGTGGGATACCAAGCTGCCTTGATCGTTCAGAAGCCTTATAGAATACAAGATCTTCTCTTGGACCAAATGAACCAACGAGATGTGTCAAGTCATTGGCAATTAAAATTATATCCCTTCCGGTTGGATATTCTGGTGTGTAGATGCTGAATTTCCAAGCTACCATACCAACGTCGTTCTCACCAGGGAGACGCTTTTGCTCCACAAGATTGTCACCGTCCAATACTAACTCAACGCAATCCATCACTGGACTAGGTACCTTTATATTTTCTGTGTGAAAAAGATATTTTTTTTTTAAATAAAATAGACAGGCATGGAGTTGCAAATGTATACATTTCTTTTCACATTTACCAGACTGAGGTCGTTCTTCTATGTACTTAACCCAAGCTTTCTCAATCTGCTGCCGGAACATGTCAGGCAAGTCGTAGACATACGTACTTCCAGCGCTCTGAGCCTGGAATCTTTTAGCTTGTAGATAATCCTTTGTGAGGTATGGTGTAGAAATTGGTAAACCATGCATAGGACCAGGTCTGTAACCCAATGGACTTGAGGCAGAAGAACCATAAGATTCGAAACGAATCACACCCGTTTTTGGATCAGTGGCTTCAGTATACAGATGTAAATCGATGCTGTAACCACTGTCATTGGCAATGCAAAGTCGTACATAAGATGTAGGTTTTCCAGGGGCTGGTCTAATTGTCATTTTTATTTCAGCCTGTAGATCATTAAAGACAATGATATAAATTATTGCTCTAGGTCCTAGATAAGAGTACATTTATCACATTAATTTAGTATTTTATTTTACCTGACGAACTCGTAGTTTCCACAGTCGTGGGCCATATCTGAGAACCATGCTGGTTACGCTCTCTTCAATTCTAGCAGGGTCCATGATAACGGTGGGTGCGAAGTTTAAAAAAATATGATTGCAGTCAGTGCGCTTGGCAAGTGGATGAGAAAAGGCCACCTCGAGTTCATCCATAGCTTCGAGTAAAACACGTTCACCTTCATTGTGCAAGTAATCAAAGCTTGCCTCTTTCGTAATAAGATCCGAATGGCGAATGATCGAACGTATAAAGAATCGGTAGTCTGTAACCTGCTGTCCTTTGGCAACCTATAGCACAAACGTACGAAAATAAATTAATAATAGTGATAGTTAAAGTCATGAACTATTCCATTTATGATCGATTAATTGACTGGCTGCTTACCTTGGCTTTTCCCAAGTAAAGGTGCATCTTTTGATTGGATGTAGGTAAAGCTTCTAAATCGTATGTTCTCATTCTATTAAGTTCCAATTGGAACGCACAACCGGGTTCTAAATGACGGTATATCTTATCTTCAACGAATCCATCTCTTTGACGGAATGTGAAGAATTTTGGGAATTGTCTCTTTTTAAGGGCAGCAAATGTCACTCTTCGTATACCACGTGCAATAAGTTCATCTTTATTAGTAGCACACCAGTCACCAAATTCTCTAGCCATTGTAGCGTCATCCACATTGCCACTATCCTTCACGGCAATGCTGAGTATATGTACAGGCTCCACTGGTCTATCTCCAACTTCAACTGGTCCAGTCTCAACGCCAGTACTCAATGAAACATTGATGGATGTGCTATGCCGTGATTCGCTGCCAGCCGCTTCAACAGCCTCCAACACTTTTGCTGATACCGAATTAGGTGATGAGAGATCCTCCAATAAATCAAGAACTTCATCAGAATACTGACTAAACTGTTCAAGATCTTCGAAAGCAGCCATTGCTCCGGTTCTATGATTTATCAAGGATTGATTCTGCCTATTGGGATGATTGGTTGGCAACAAAAATTGGAAGTGCACCAAAGGAATTTCACCGGACAATTCCAAGTGTTGTAGACAGGTCAATTCATAACTGATATATGCCCTGCGTACATATACCTCAAGAGCTGCATTGCAAACAGCACGATTAGAATGATAGAAGAAGTCATGAAGTATGTCAAAGATGGACGTCTCCGACAAAATGAGTTTCTGAAGATTTTCAGGATGGAAATCGTGACCGTACATATCCACAGCAGACAAGAAAATAGATTCCATCTGATTGTGTCTCAGTTCGTAAGCTGGTTGATGAGCAGCAATCAAGACTTGTCTAGCTCTTAGGGCGACACGGCTGTGTTCTGTACGATTGAGACTAGTTAATTCAGTCAAGGTGCTGGCTAACTCATCAGTGAGACCTGGTTCATTTGCCCATAGATGATCTATAAGCATAGTAACTAAGACATTTTTCTTTGTCACATGGTTATGGCTGAAAATTGTCGCAGTTACCATCGCCATGTCATCCTTGAACTGTTCTATCAATGCTGACACACATTTATCATAATGACCCTGTTGGAATTGACTTTCTACGGTGTAATATTGTCGAAGAAGTTCATGTACGGCTGTTTTCATTCTACCACGTATACCATTACGATATCTTTGCACTAGCTGAACAATCGCCTGAGTCGTAAGGAAGAACACGTCCCTTTCCGTTCTCTTTGAAAGTGTTGCTGCATGTCCATCGATTACGGCAGCAATTTGCTGGCTCGGAAATTGCGCAAGTACAGATGTGATGTTCCTCTCATAGAGAGTCATCAGTTTCCTGATTTTCTTCTCTACGGAAATGGGTATTCTTCCGGAAATAGTTGCAATGACTTCTTGAAGTTCCAGTAAAGGTAGGCTCGGATCGCGGAGAGAATACATGAACTTCTCAATGAGTTCACGTAATCTTGGTAAATGATAAGGATCAGGCAAACAGTAGCCGGCGAGAGTATTCTCCAAGGCAGTTCTGTATTTTGCATGAAGATGATTTAACTTTTCTGGTATAGCCGGTACAACTGGTACTGGGAATTGACCTGTATATTCTTGTGCTTTCGTTACCAAAGACGGATCGTCCAATTCCAAGTGAGCAATTAGCACACCAGCATCAAGGACAGCACCAGGTCTCTTCACGTAAAATATACTACCAGCTTCACCGGCTGTAACAGTCATCACCATTTTCATAACTTCAATTTCGGCATAGGCTTGCCCAGCTTCAACATGACCGCCATCCTCGACCATGAAATTTATGAGCTTTCCAGCAGACGGAGATCTCAATAAAGAAGGATCATTATCCTTTTCAAAGATGCACGTTTGGTTTCCGATCACAATACGGTAACGGTCCACTTCTTCTCTCATGTACGTTGTAAAACTGGCACCATCTAAAGACAGCAATAAACCACCATCGGATAGACTATGAACTTCAACTTCTTTATAGGAACCATTCATCACAAGAAAATATGTATTCGGACCGGACTTGGCAACTTGTACTTTGTACTTATATCCATCATTGATTAACTCCACCTAGGAATGAAAGAGAATATTAAAAAGGGGATCAGTTAGAACTGAAATTTTCTTATTAATCTAGGCTTTTTATAAAAAATATATGCAAAACTCACATCAACCACATTGTCTAAATCATTACTAGCTTGTATCTGACCCCTTTCGAGTGCCGCTTGGAAGCCAGAAAAGGCGGCATTGATAGTTCTATCAGCAATATGTAGAGCACCGCAGGTAACAGCTAGTAAAACATCTGGTTTCTCACTTCGAACCCTTTCTGATATGAGAAGATCGAGCCAAGCGGTGTCAATATTATTTGTTTGGAAAGCTTCTGTTTCCAAGAGAGTAATTAGATACTCGACCGTGGTCCTAAAGTCACCACGGATACTCAATTCTTTGAGAGCGATAACAAGATTTTCACGAGCCTGATGACGATCCTCTCCCCATGAGAAACAATGACCAAACTGCGAGTCAGCGAACTCGTGAAGACCCCCAGAAGCTCCTACGGAGAAGTAACCCCATACGTTTTTTGATGAACGGAAATTTAGCTCCTGTACTGTTCCAGAACTTGGCTTAAACCCTTCGTCAGGATTTTCACTAGTAATACGGGCGGCGATAACATGGCCCCATGGTTGAGGTTTATGCCGCGGCTGATCGAAATCAATTGAGTTATCTCCCCATGGACTCTCGCCATAAAGAAGACGAATATCTTTGATATAATGAAGCGGTAGACCCATGGCTACTTGAAGCTGTGCCGCAGGTAGATTAACGTCAGACACCATTTCTGTACAGGGATGCTCCACTTGAAGACGAGGGTTCAACTCCAGGAAATAATAACTGCCAGAAGTATCGTAAAGATATTCGACGGTGCCAGCGCTTACGTATCCCACCATCTTAGCTAACCTAACAGCTGCCTGTAACGCAAAAATAATAAAAGCATAACATTAAGTCTGAGTAAAAGAATTACAATAACAGAATAATTTGAAATTAAAATTAACCTTCTCCATCTCCTCAAAGACTTCCGGTTTCGCAATAACAGCCGGTGCCTCCTCAATAATTTTCTGATGTCTCCTCTGAATAGAACAATCACGACCAAATAGAGAAATAGCATTTCCATAATTATCGGCAAGTAATTGCACTTCCAAGTGACGAGCGCACTTAGCAAGTTTCATGATGAAAATAGGAGAACCAGGAATTTCCGTTTGCACTTGTCTGCAAGTGCCAGAATGTATATTTAAATCGATCTGATTAAAGCGAAAAGCTCTAGTATTTATTAATCAAGAAAACCAGATCGAGTTTCCTCACAATCGATTACCTGAATAACGCAGGAAGCTCCTCGGCATTTTCAACCTTTCGAATTCCTTTACCACCACCACCCTCACTGGCTTTCACCATAATGGGAAATCCAATTTTATTCGCCGCAGCCAGACATTCCTCCACGGTGGATATGCATCCTTTCTTGAAAAGTTCCGACGATATTTTAATTTTCTTTCCGCTATAATGAGCTTTCAGTTCAGAACCAGACCATGGCAATGTAGGTACTTCAGCGGTTTGAGCGACTATACTCGATGCAATTTTATCACCAAGAGCCCACATAGCTCTTTCAGACGGTCCTGCATTGAGCATAAGCAAATAAAAATCAATGTAATAAAATAAATCATTTAATTATCCCATATCAATTTTATCGCTAAGATCAGAAAACGTACCGATAAAAATAATATTATTTTTGTGCAGCAGTTCAGGTAGCTTAGGATTTTCTGAAGCATGACCCCAACCAGCCCATACGGCATGTACCTGAGTTCGAATTGCAATGTCTATGATCAGTTCCACATTAGCATAATTATTATTATTCGTTCCTCCAGGTACAGGTACATATTGGTCAGCCATTTTTATGTACTCCGCATTAGCCTTCAGGTCCTCCGGGGTGACCATCACGACAAAACGAATGGCGCGTTCGTTTTTGAACATCTCGTAGGACCAACGACGAACTGATCTCATACATTTTACAGCAGCAATTCCGTTGTTGGCAATCAATACCTGAACAAGAAAAAAAATGAAATTACATTAGTAAAAATATTTCAATGCGGAATAAAAAAAAAATTTTAACTTTCAAGTTAAAGGTCAAAACAATCAAGTAGTTAGAGAAAAGTTCAAATACATGTACGAAGTAAGAATCCTAATACATCCAAGTTTTCCTTATTTATCCTGTAAAATAACAAGTTTTTATAATTCATTCTCTTGCAAGGTCACACTCTTAACGAAGGCTATACCAATCAGTGTCGTCCGGAGATCATTAGGTACAAAGTTCATATTTACATTTACGCCACTTCTACAATGTACAGTGACGTAAATTCAAATTCAAAATATCGGTATACCTGCGTGCAAGAAACTACTTTACTCGTTTAACCTTTAAAATTCCACACGGAAAAGCAATTCCGTATAGTACAATAAATCGAGTCTACCCGCAACAAATGACTAAGAGTGCATTAAAAATTGCTATCTTATTTTTCTGTCACGTTTACTCGCCTTATTGATGACTCTGGTACCTCCAAAACGACGCACGAATTCTTCAGGTGTCGCAATAGTGAAATCCTTCTCTTGCTGGCGGCTCTGCGTTTGAATCATCACCGTGCCCTGCGACATGCTGGGCCTATTCGTGAAAAGGAAACGAAAAACAGGGATAAGTATAACGTATAGTGAATAAAATTATTTTCGAAAATATAAATAATACATACAAACGACGCGATACAGTACAAAATCGTAAATACGATATGTATGAAGAAAAAAAAAAAAATGCGTGACGTAATATAACAAGAATTGTCACATTACGTGAATACATTTTTACGCCGATTGAAAATCAATGATAAATCATCAAAACGTATTAGCGTCCTTTAATACCATCAGCAGACAACATTTCCGGCCTTGGAGCAGTAGGGCACAGAGTTATAATTTTAATTTTTGCAAAAACTGCTAATTACAACTCATAGCCAAAGATCAGTAAAGTGTCCTCGTGAACGAGTGCGTACGAAACGACATAAATTGTTAAGAGAAAGTACTTGTTTCAAATGGATAACACGAAATAGCTTCACGGTCCGATCTTATTGCGCAGACAATACAATAATTTCTTCTCTCAGCATTCATTCGCGACTTCCATCGAGATATTACGTTTAGTCAATTTTTATAAGGATACGCTAAATACCCCAAGGAAATCTAGGTTAATGATTAAATGAAAATTGTGGAAACACTATGAACAAGACTTAGTGAACAATGAACAAGTGTATACCTTTTCATAATTCGATAACTTTTCGGTATTGTATTTATATTGTAAAGTCACTGCCGTTATAAGTGTATTAATGTAAGAAATAATCTATAATACGCATAATTTTAGGTACTGTACTACGGGCACACGAAATATACGAATAACACGGTAAAAGTGGACGAAACGGATGACACGTAAAAGTTTTATAAATTCCAACCAATTATCTTTCCCCAATCTCGTTCACTGACGCTCATTGACCATTGGTCACGGGCACAGCCTTCGGAAATATCCCAAAAGAATTGATATTTTCTCAGACGTCACAAGATTATATAAACAGTCGCCTTAAAATGCCGAATAACTGCAGAATCTACAGATAAATCAAAACGATTATCCATTCAAAGAATTAATATTCTTCAAGAATTTCGAAGAGATTAACGACAAATCGATCTATAAGTTTGTAATTTCTACGTGATTTACGTTGTTCTTGATGATTAATATGAATTATGATTAATATTGAAAAATATGATTAATATTGAAATTTGCAGAACAATTACAATCGATCCCACTAATTGTATAACGTGATAAGTATCCTATTTGTATAATAACAATATTGATATTAATTTATTATCGGCTGTTAAAATCAGATATGAATGATTGTAACGAAGTAGTTGAATGAGTATCGGGAATTTTATCACGTTGTACTCTAGTGTTTTCGATATTTCAATAAAAACACTGATAACGCATATTATTACGTCATCCCCTGCGGAATATCCAGTTGCTTCACTTTAACGACTTCCTTGGGTTCTTCTTCGGTCTTTTCGGTAACGATCCTACCGACGCCTGCTAACAGATTATCCGAACTTTTCCAGATCGGATCTTTTTCCGTGCTTTCCGCCAGGACGAATCTCTTGATGCGTTTCATTTTGCAGCTTCCAATAACTCGATCTCGAATTAACGAAGAGAACCACCTAAGCGATTTCCAAATTATCGGTAATATCGAGGTGTCCTGCGCGTTCGTGCAATCGTCATTAGAAAACGACGACGAATTCACAACTGGGCGACGATCTTCAACGTCCTCCTTACGAGTCACAGTGTTTGCATCCACTTTGCTGAAAATTTATCTCAATCCCTTAAATGGTTTCACTTCACTTGTACTTCACTGTACTTTTGACAGTCACATACGAAAAGTCTCCGTCCACGGCTTTCATACGATAAATTTTCTATACTGTACATCCGTTCAATAGATGCGTACCCGTACTCTATCTCCTCGGCACTGTAATCAGCTACGGCTATTTGCCGGTAAGAACAATTCTTGAGAACTTTTTTTCCTACTCTTTCAAGCAGTATGCTTCTTATTCATCATATAAATCAGCCGGTTTACCTTGAGAATGAACCCTTGGTCGTATTTATTTTGACATGATACTCGCGTCATCGCGATTCCGTATGATAAATAAGATTTTTTTATGCATTGGATTTGCGTAAAATAAATGACAAATTTGACTACGATCTACGGAAAACATTTTGACTGGAGGGATTTTGATATGAAGAAAATATTAAGGTCTGTTAAAAGAAAAAAAAGGTTGAGGGTCTTTTTTAATTAGAAAAATTGAAAACTATCAAATCACGTACTGATGTTATTTTTTCAAGAAAATATTTGAAGTAAACATTGAATTTTAGGCAGCGATACAATTTTTTACATAAAAAAATTAATAAAGCTAGTGCTCAGCAATGACAAACATGCATGTCGCAAGCAAAATTCTCGCCAGTTAAAGTATAACGAAAACGAGAAGGTGCTGAATCCGTAATATTTTTTTTTATTTCAGCAAAAGTGAACGAGGCATTGCAAGAATTTTATAATCATGACAGAAAATTATATTCTATCGAGTTCGAGCTTTGGAATAATTTGAAATTTGATTATCGATTATCGAAAATAGAGTTATACCCTTTTTTATCTGTGACTAATTTCCAATAACAAATCGTTATCATATCTTTTTAGGAGATTACATGTTAACCGAATGAATGAAATGAATATGCCGATACTTGAACAGTGAAAAAGTGCCGTTAGATTTCTAAAGAGTTCGGTCGAATTCAAACGTAAAAAAACATCTGCACTGTACACGAGACTGGCGGTCACTGTCGACTTCCTGATGAGGTGGCTAGCACTTTCCTTTGAGTAAGAAGTTCCCCTACCTTTATTACGTTCGTATAAGAAAGCAACAACGGTCTAGAGTTCTGTGACAGTTACCATTCATTATAATATTAAAGAAAGAGCCATTCCTGCACTCCTTATAAAATACAAGTCAAATAATTTTGCACTTACTTGAATTTGAATAATAAACGTTAGCCTACTTGTTTTCAAGGCAAGAATAAATAATCCCTGGTAAAGCATTATTGCAGCTGATTAATATATCTGTACTAGAGGGTCATTGGATTCAGGAAAAAATGTAGGAACAAAAACAGGTTCCTGAATCAACAATTAATTAAAATGACCGTTGACACAGCTTTCATAGAGATAATAATGGCAGTACCACGTAGAACCGTGGCTTCTGTTTCCCAGTCGTAAATTTCACTCGAGGAATACATAAAATATAAACTTTTCTTGGGTATAATGGTTCTTATACAAAGTTAAATTGTCCATGGCTATCAAGTGCTCGAGCACTTTGCAATACAAGCCATAAAACATGGCGTTGCCTACATCAGCTGATACCAACCGAGGTGAGAGATCCAATGAACGTAAAGTAACGTTGCCCCACTTATTCCATGCGACCACGTGTATCCTTCTTTACCAAGAGCGTCGCACGTGCTCCAATAGAACGTAAATAAGAACTTCAATACGTAGTACGCGCTGAATGGCGCTGATGAGACATAATTGATGCATTACCGACAGGTTAAACGTGAAGTTTGCCCTAATCGTACGTACTATTTTTATAATGTCTAAACACTTACAGCGACTTTTAAGGGACAATCAAAAGACATTCTATGGCTACGTTAGAAACATTATTCGTCCCATAAGAATAAAATTACGGTTATACGTATATGAGTGAAAAATTTCTTTCAAATCTAATGACACTGTACGTCATACAGTTGAGAATGAATGGCACCAACGCAATGTTAAAATATAGAAAATCTTGTTCACCTGAGACGCTTGCGGCGCTCAGCGAGTCCAGGTATGATAGGCTGTTGTAGACTTCCATCATTTCCATCACTGGGAAAGCTATCCTCTGTTTCAAGTTCCTCACTGGGATCCGGATCGCCTACGACGAAACTCACCGGAGTCCCGGATTCCAGATCACCCTCGGACATCTCGGCCTCGAGTTTCTTCTCTTTTTCACGAACTTCGCGTGCCGGACTTAGTTGATCTGATTGCTGTCTGTCCTCGCGGTAGGTGTTACCTTCAAAAGAACGCGCGAACAAGAAATGTCAATGATGAACTAGAGATCTCGATATCTCTAGCGACATTCCGTGACCCTTATCCCGATATCGTTAGACACACATTCACATCCCGAAGTCCCTTATCATTCACGTGTCTTCCAAGCAATGGCCTAGTTCCGACGAAACCCCATTAATTGTAGGCTTTTTTTTCTCTATTTCCGATCAAGGTCACTTCGTGCCATCGTAGACTGTGCTTCTACTTCTGGAATTCCTCTTATCTTTTCATCGAAAAGCAATTCTTGAGATCGACTCAGCGATCAAATGTATTCAGCACGTAAGCATCAAATCCTTAAAAAATTTTACCAAAATACTCCGGATGCGTATACTACATTAGTATTGCTTCTCGAGTGCTTTGAAGAAGAAAAAAAAATATATCCAGTGAGAATAAAATAATATATTACAAAAGAAAAATACATTCAGAGCAAAGAGGTAGCATTGCTGAGAGAAACAAGAAATACCAAAAGTATTTTAAAAATGACATCGCCCGAAATATCCGACAAAGAAAATAATTTAAATTAAAAAAAAAAGAAGTGACCCTTATCCTAATAATATAATTAAATTATTCAACGTCGTCGCGGCGTAAGAATAATTCCATAATTGAATGACATACTTAAAAGTAAAAAAAAAAAAAGAGAAGAAAAACGTGTCAAATCCTTCCCCAAAAAAGAAAACCACAATAAGCAAATATTAAAAGAGCCATGCAGTTAAGATAAAAAAAACAAGCATCAACCCTTATCCATATATCTCTAACGGATGATCAAAGAGAAAAATAAAATGTAAACTGTCGTCCATCACCATCAGTACATAATAAATAGATAAAACGGATGAAAATGATTATCATACCCAATAAATAAACCCCTAATAACTTCCCTTGACGTATAACCCCTCGATAGTAGCAGGAAGCAACCCCCTGCCTAGACTCCCGACAGAATTCATATTGAAGCGCCTACTCACCCCAAGGATAAGGAGCTCGAGCAATAAGATCGCGCACCCCTACAAAAATCACAAACAATAACCTCCCTCCAGGGGACAAAGCTTCGAGAAGGAATGTCCTGGTCCAAGCGCACAAGAGAATTCCAGCAGCAGGGATGATCAGGGCACAGAAAATGCAGTAGCCTTGAAACAATTATCAAGAAGTAGCTTCAATGACAGAGTGTCTTTCCCATACAGAATGGTTCACGTTAATGATATGAACTCTGAATGACACGGATGATCGTGCGAGAGACTCATGCAGGGGATGCTGTACCGAAGACTGCATCCAGAAGACCCCGTAGCATACCCAGTGGTAGGATTCTTGAAACTGCGAAGTTTTAGTTCCTTCGGTACACCTTGTCTTCCTCCAATATTTACGTCGCTCCTCTACTTCCGGGTTCTTCACTACCAAGATCCTTCCTTCCGGTAGCTCCTGGCACCGACGCTGTCCTCTCTTTTGCTTTCCTATGCAGTATCGAAATATCTATTCTTATACATGTTCCTTGCACTTGCTGGCGTGTCTGCGGTCCGACGACGAAAGACTGACGAAGGCGAAGAGACGATTACAGCGTATGTCTTGAATCAGTAAGTGACACCGTCCGGATGACCGGACGATGGTTCAGGGGTCGTGTCGTCTTTCTATGTGTGAATCGACTTTCGTTTATCAGGGTTACGTACAGCACACGACGTATTAAGTGACCATTCCATTCGGGTGGCGTTGCTCGACATTAACTTCTTACTGTTCAATCTCTTAGGGATATCAGTGGTACGTATAACATCAATTTATCATTACGGAATAGACACTTTTATTTCATATTTTAACACTCTCGGACCGCCCACTGGAATTTACTGGGTGAAGTAAACGAAACGAAACGCTTCACTCTGCGACGCGTAGCTTTAGTACGTACATAGGATATAGGACACGATAAATAGAGGTAGACGTGAAATTGACGAATAAAAGAAACATCTATTCATTATATGTATTGTACATTCGATGCATTACGTTAATTACGAATAATTCATAATCTATATTTATTTATACTCATACTTTCCGAGCACGCCTCTGATAATCATTCAAGAGACGTATGATTAATTATTCGTGACTTGTACGTAGATTTTATTGAATCTGCAAAATATTCTCTTTCGAAGCTTATCGGACAATCGCGCATGGTCTTTTACCTGCGAGAGATTCGGACTTTCTTTTTTTCAGATTCGTACAGAGAATAGAATATTTTGATGAGATGCAATTAATATTCAAATATTAAATATCTCTTATCACCGCTTATTAGATTCTGTACTAATCGACGTTATCGCAAGACTTTCACTATAAATATTTTTTCTGCAAGTAGGTGTATATATATTATATCGATAATCATGACCCATTCATAGAACGTTAATGAAAATGTTTTATCAAAAAAAGCATACGTACGATTATAAAGACTTCAAAGAAACGACTTACTGATACCTAATTATTTAATCGATGCAAAGGTCATTCGCTGGATTAAACTAGTGACGTACCATGGAAATTAATACAATGATACCCAATCGACTGCAACGATTGGAACGTAAGGATACTGGTATACCTGGACTTAATATTTTACAAACAACGCGTTACAAGCCACATCGGTTACGCATATACTATAGGTAAATTGCCAACGTCGGAATATATTAAATATACAGACGCTTTGATTTTACTTTCCATCTAATTAGCGTCTTCGACAAGGGGTCTATAGTAAAGCCAATAAAATTGACCGAAAACACACATTTTCAAGCACGTTAAACTTCCTAAGCAAATAATTGAATGTATTATGTCACCGTTAGAGGCACGTGCGTAAAATTCTTCGTATCAACGTACGTAAGCGGAACTCATTAAATCGCATGATATCAATATAAATCTAATTCGCATGCCTCTTATCCGAAGTTAAATTTCTTATCGCCATTAAAAGATTAAAATATTAGACAATGGGTATGTACCAGGTTACAAGGTTATGATTCAAGTAAAAATCGACTGCAATGTATAATATTTATTAAAGTAAATCACAATGGCACTTTAATTACTACATAGAACAAGGATTACTCCTTTTCGAAAAATTTTGCGAAATTTACGACTGGAGCTCGATCGTGAGTAAAGAGATCTTTACCGTATTGCCAAGTTTCCTCGAAACGAGTGCCAGAAGCAGATTTCAGACGGGTGGGACCCACTCGAATTCGGGTGATTTAACTTTAACTGCTAGTCGGGGCTGCACTCTCCGTAAGGATTAGGTTAAAAAATAAAAAAAAAAAAAATAAAAAGGTACTGCTGGATCTCTGCCAATAATATCCAGGACACGAAACATTCCTCTTGTAAACTGGTCAACCGAGAGAAATGCTTTCGCGTTTACTTGCCTTTTCCACGTGTTATATATATTTATCATTGATCGTTCAATCCTACATATACTCTTTGCTGACGTTTATCTGACCTCTGGCCAAGATACACCCATCGTGACCTGTACGACGCGTGGCTGCTGGATGTGACGATCGTGCTTCGTGAATTTTGATCTTCGCGAATGGCGGTCAAGCTAACTCGCCTCTCACAACGATTGGGAAGCACGTAATCTTCACACCGAAGATACGAGTTATCTTGTAGCGATCCATCGAAATGTATAACTTGCGTGATAGAGTGAAAGCATTTGATAATTGGATTTAAGCGTCAACTTTGATTATACGATGTGTAAACAATGGAGAATTTTACTCCTTACGGTCAATAACTATCATCTTTCGGTTATCATTGTACGTTGTAAAATCTAAATCGGATTGAAATCGGATTTTTTTTTTTCGATCGTTTTTCGACAATACGACGATCAAGCTGCCCGAAATTCATGCCAGCATTAATTTTCTTCACGGTGTTATTATAGTCACGGTTTCACAGACTTGAGTGGGCATTTGATATTAACGTTAAGATTGTTCACGTGGTTATTTACGTTGTTGGGATTAACTTTTATCGAATCGGATTATGTAATCATTGCTAGTGCAAAAGTACTATTACACTCATAATGCTGATAATTATAGTGTGTAACGCAAAATCAAACGTGCATCGGGTCATTGACTGTGTTGATATTAAATTGTGTTTATTAAAAATTCATATGAACCGCATTCATCGTATAACTAATTTTTAAAAAATTGTTTTTTTTCGATATCTCGTAAGATTTGTAAATTTTCATAACTAGCTACGTTGTATAAATTCGTAGTATCATTACAACTTTGCGTGCAACACTGACGTCGCAAATTGCGCATCAGGGACATGTTTTTGCAGTTACGACTGCCTGCTTAACTGATTAGTGTTTAGTCGATAAATGTATGGTGTTATCTGTTGGCAATAAGTTATTATTATGTCTAGTGTTCGAATTAAATTTCACGAATTTCGAAAAGCAAGATTAGTTATAAAGCACGACAATGTCGGGTGCTACGCACAAGCGGAACTACGTTTGATTTGAATTTCGCGCAAAGATACGATAAAGGATAGTTTAAAAGATTTAAAATAAATTCGTGTAAACTATAAAATAAAAGAAGTACAACGAGTTTTAACTATTTACGAAGGTTTAAACAGAGTTCTATATTGCTTGGATAATTTCTGTGGAAAAATGAATGCTTGTGTACATACATATTTAAGTATGTTATTTTCCATGCTCGTAGTGTACATGGTAGTAGTGTGTACATTTATCCATGCGAACAAAACATAAAAAAGTAAAATAAATCTTTTCATAATAATAACTTAGATTCAATTGCCAGTACATTGCATAAATATATATGAGTCTCAAGGATGCAACCATTATTAATTCAAACGAACTTTTATATACCAATTATATTTTTCTTACCGTTATTACTAATCCCCCATTATTACATTTCAAACTATGATTCTGTATAGACATGCTGCTAAATGCGATGAACATACAATTTCCACCAATGAGTCTTTTTAATATATAACATTGTTATTATAATGCCCAAGGAAGTTACTAAAAAAAAAGATAAAATTTGTAATCTATCACCAAACTATTCTATATGAAACAATAAATGTTATTTGTATAAATGAAAGATGGACACAAACCAATTATCGAAAACTGTTAAAACATTTGAATATCCCGGTTAAATGAATCCTGCTGTATTGTATCTAAAAATTTTAAAGAAAACAGTACATCAGCTTTACTCGGAGCATAACAAATAATTTTCATTTTGATAAACAATAATTTACGCGTGTTCAAAACGTAGCAATGTTTATAGATTTTCATACGCAGCAATCAAACGATTGACAGACGTCTATGATTGGTTGTACAAAGGGTCAGGCGACTCGTGAGAGTCTCTGATTGGTTCAACAAGAGCGTACGGTGTTTCCAAGGAGCACGCGTCATCAACTACTGTAAGCTAAACGCGATTTCCCTGCGGTCATCACATAAAAGAAATGAGAAAGACATGCTCGACTATACAAACATGACGCGCGAATATTAAAGCTTAGATCTGTTCATAAATAGAGACACTCACCGATGACGAATCTTACGCGGTGGAGCCGCTTGGCCCTCCTGGAGGTTAGGATCAGCTTTTCGTGCGTCTTCTGTCATTCGATTTTCTCGTGGGGACAATTCAACAAAATAAAGTCCACACGGTGAACAAGATGCACTTAAAAGGAAGAACTTTGAATACTGTTACTGTTTACGATACTTGGGACTATTGTCACCGGCGATACATGAATATTTTTCACTCCTATTCACTCGACCCACCCGTAATAGAATGCACGAAATTTATCAACACTTACTCGATGTACGCCTCGTATTCGCGTACTACTTTATTGCAAAGGCACGACAGGTGTTATCCGTTGAGAGGGATAAGCTGTTATCTATTTCCGAATTCCTCGGACAGAGGTCAGCACTTTACGGATGCCTCTAACCTTACCTACGTCAGTCATTTTTATGTGGCGTAGAGAAATATTTACATGTATCCTGTTACAACAATATGACCTTGTTTATTGATTTTTATTCTTACCTCAATAATCTCGATGCATCACAGTTTCATAACGTTGTCTTTAATGATATTTTTTAAATCAATGATTACATTTATCGGTCATCACTGTGAACATTAATGTGTTTACGAAACGCGTCCATATTTATTTATCGTACAAGGATTTAAGTTTTGAAGTTTGTAGAAAGGATGAACGAAGAATTGGTATTGTCGGTTGAATTATTAAAGAATACAGTGTCAAAGGTACCTTGCTTTGGTATTTATTTTTATTTGTTAAAGATATAAAATGATGTGATGAATAGACTGTTTTTAGGTTTTAGTATACTTTATTACCGCTAGTACCCTGCAGGAAAATGTAGAGAGAGCTACAAATTATGAACTTAAAATTGAATTACTCAAAAACGAATGTTTCTACATGGTACAAGTAACTAATTGCGGATCAATTATATGGAATGTTGTACTCCTCCTAGACACTGTATTTAATCCGTTAGTGTTCGCTGGATTAGTACCTAGTGATATTGCAGTTGCTTCTTTCTTAATAAGATGTGCTAAAGAAAAAAATGGAGATGCATACAATTTACAATTCTGTCAAAATTGTTGGGTGTTTGAAAGGCAAACCCATCTCGAAGAATTATTTAAGAATTATTATTTCCTAGACGACTATTTGTCGATTGTAATAAAGGTAATAATAGTTAAAATAAAAGAATGATGTATACATGTTAGAAAAATATGAAACAATAATACTCTTGTTTTCCAGTACAAGTTATTCACGGAGAATCTGAAAGAATTTAAAAGTTCGTTAATAAAAGAATTAATTCACTTACAACAAAATAATACGAGCATCAAACTGATGTTCTATTGCGGCAATGAGATATTTTATACGAATCACACGGAATTACATGATGACTTCCGCAATTGTCGTTTATTAAGCTCAGCTTTAGCAACAGTAGTGAAACAGAGTTTAAATGATGAATTTCGAGAAACGTGTTTAAATCTGTTAAAAGTCGATAACTCGTACGATGCAGAAACCGTCATTATGTCAAAGTTATTGACAACGATTAATGAAAATTATGTACGTCCCGAAAGAAAAGCATCGACAAAAAACAATGAACCTGATAACGACCAAGAAGAGTGAACAAAATTCATAGAAGGAAAATCACATAAAGTATAATCTGTAAGCAAACGAGCAATGTAACATTGAGATGACTTAAATAAAAATTTTCTTGATAACCCATCGAGCAACTTGTCTCACTCTAGACTGCTAGAGACACCTATAACCATTTTAAATACTCCCGCTACTCAGACTCGCAATGGTTGGCGGGATTTTTTCCTGCGCCATACTTGATGCGCAAGGGAGATCCTCATGCACTTTTTCCCAGTCGCGCGACCGAAACAGGTCAGGTTGGGCAGGTTGACTGACAGCGTATCGAAAACAGCGTCTTTCGTCGTGAATGAAGGTTAATTCGACGGAAATCAAGGTGCGTCTTGCTCCGGGAACAGCAGTCATGCATTCGAGACGAGTACGGTGTAGTACAGAGGCTCGCGTCAAATTACGGGACATTCGGTAGACCGCAAGAAGGAAAAATATGTGCCCGGCAAATGTGTACTTCTCGCTTTGAAGTTGTGTGCTCAGTGTCTCTCAACTCGGGAGTGGTAATCCTACATACAAGTACGTATCTCATATGCATCGATATATACACATGGGACCAGTTCTGTTTATTAGCATGCAAGTACAGTTTCAGTTTGCGTTACGTGGCCTTATTTGCTCTCGTGAATATTATGAGGCTCGAATGAAGACGCTCGATTACAGCGGTCTGAGAGCTTTTTCGTTAGTAGCTACTATTAAACTGCGTGAACAAAGTCCCCTAAGCGTTGTGCTGCAAGTGTACGAGAGTAGATGATAAATGCTAAATGGCGGAGTATGTAAAGGGTTTCCTCCGTTGATATCGTCGTGAGTGCGTATAGTCCCAATCGGAACACATGACATAACCGCTACATAGTTATAATAACGCTCTGGAAGTAAAGCCGCTAGTCGATCGGTGCGTTGCAGCTGTTTGCGAAACCATAATCATCGTGAAAAATTCTCCCTCCTTGGGATGAAAAAAGTTTGTTTCCTCTAACAGCTGTCGGTCCCATGTAAATACCGTTCGTCCTCACGATTCTAACCTGTAGCTTAGTTTACGGAATGGAAGTCATGTCAGTGCTTAGTAAAAACCGTGAGTTTTATGAATTCTTCACTTGACGCAAAATATAACAGTGACTAATACTTTATAAAACAAAATTAAGCAGCCCTTTGGAATTTACCAATTGCATTCACAGGTAATTGTATGTATTTATACATTACATTGAAATTCTCTAAAACTATTTATTACTTGGAATTTCTAAATTTTTCGCGTTATAAAACACAATGGTCTGTGATCTATGAATACTTATTATGTTATTCTCAATTTGCGTAATGTTAAGTAATATTATTCATATTCTCTAGTACTATAATTTACATTCATTGGTAACCTATCGTAGCCGTTGGTCAGCGAAGGCCAGAATACTAAAAATGTCAATAATTATTAATCAGTATTTAAATTAATACGAAATGTGACAAACATCCGATTTTCAATCACTTACAATCGCTGTATTTTATCAATCGGGTCTCCGACCTTGGCTTAATAGTATCTATGCCGGAAATACACTTCCCCTCTACTTCTGAACCCTTCTTTTTTTCAACTACACTGTATTGCCACGCATCAATAGTTTTCCGAATATATATTTATAAACGTGCCACCCAGCGACAAAACTTTCTCTGACCATATCCTCCGAAATAAGCGACCCATTTCCCTCATTCGTAACAATCTTGCTGCCATTGTTCCTCGTCGACCATATATTTCTTCCTCTCTCAGTATCGACTCTGCTATTACGATAAAAGAATGAAAAACTTTTTCATCAATTTCAATAATAAAAAAAAATCGATATTTCCTAGTCTTAGAAGCACGTAAGGCCTTTAAAACTTTATTAAAAGAAAAACCTCAGGAAATTTGTCACTATTTTTCTTTATCCTAACTATCCTCCATTTTATCTCTAAAAAAAATGTACCCAACTTCTTTCTCTGCAATCATTAACGCCGTTACTTCGATTCCATTAAGAATGTCATCTAGAATTAATAAAATGCATTCATCAAACGCATAAGTTTCTCAAAATATTCCCAACCTCATCAATTTCCATATTGTATGCTTTTAACAGTAAACCTCAATACCAATTCTAACTAACAATCCTATTGTTTTCCATCCGCACGTGAAATGACACGCAATACTAAAAATACCCTCGCGTAAAAATACGTCTTTTCATCGGCACAATATATCTATACAAAACCCGCGTATTTAAAAAGAACACATCTTTACGGTAAGAAAAATTGGACTATCATCTCTGCTGGAAATATAACTTTTCATAATTTCTCGTAACCAGCTAGGAAACCTATCGTCATTTATACGAATATACTACGTACTACGTCATAAGAGGAAGGTACGGATGTAGTTACAGTTTTTTGCCGAATCTTTGTTACATTTTTATTTTTCTCTGTCTCCTCAGTCGCGGATGGCGTAGTCAAGTAAAAAATGATCGCGACGACATACGAGCTCGACTTTCGGTTGGATATTATCAAGAGACGGATGTTCCATTAATCTATAATATATAAACGAGCCACATAACCTATATTTTCGACATCATAGAGGAACGCCTCGATTTCGTGGCTTCTACGTGTAAACTAACTCGCAGTCTGTCTAAATACCGATCGCCTGACATAAACCGTAAGATCCACGCGAATCGATCGAACTAAAGTACCGTTTACGCGCGAACAACGTGAATTAAATTCTTCAGTCCGAATACCCGGCCGAGCGAGCAAGGTCGATTGTATGAGAGAACGAATTGGGGCTCCCCTGCGCGTCAATTCAGTTGAGACACGAACCTTTGACTTGCCGAGTACAGTTTGATAAATGACCGTAAGATTCGTATATTCGAGTAAACAGGAACACTGGGCCGTTGTAAAATGACTTTTGGAAAGACCTGTAGCCTATCGATCCACACGCAATTCAATCATGACTTCCCACTCTGGGATATTGCGTCTAGTTCGCGTTTCTACATCACTCTAAATAATCCGTCTTGGACGAACCGATTATTCGTGAGTTTTAGTATCCTAAAATATTAAATTTTGTATTAACCCACTGCTTATCACAACAGGCAGTGCAGCGACACGTTCTGAAGAATGACGATTCAACCCTGAAAGTGTACACGCAACCCGTCATCCTGGCGCGTGGAAAGCCGGGCCAAAGGCCTGGATCATCCTCATCATCGTCCTCCTCCACGGAGAGGCTGCAAAGGATGCCAGGACCAACGCCCGAAAGACCCCGTGCGCATCGACTTACGGATATCGAGCCTCAAACTGCCAAGGTGAGGTGGTACAGAGCTGCTTATCGTTGAAAGACGGAAGTAAAATTGTACATCGGTTATTCAGCACTTGAAGTCGCGAGAATTTATCAAGCCAGACGCAGCCGACTGATGTTCCGTTATACTCGTACTCGTCGCACGGTAGACTTCCGTGAGGAGTTTAACGGTCAATTAAGAAACCGGCGTCGAGCGATCATAACGAATTTGTCGTTGGGCTGTGACTTTTCTGTCGTTGATATACGAACAAGGTTATACCATATATATATATGTATATTGTATGAATGACGATCCTGCGTGTCGCAACGCAGCATGAATTTGATGCTGTATTAATTTTAGATCGTCGTTAGTCCCAAGGATCTTTTTTTTCCTGCCACGCCATGTTGCACTGCATTAATATTACTCTGCACGCATCCACCTTCAGAAATAATGGACCTCCGCATCACGTCCCTGAGACTCTCTATCCTGCACGCAGTCGCCTTTGCTTCTTCTCATCGTTCGTCTTCCCCCAATCACCTTGGACGATTCGCATCCTTCCTGGCGTCCTATTACATCCTGGGCCGAAGCTTGGCTGTAACTGCCAAGGGGATTGGGAAGGTGCATCATTCATTTTTCAAACTGCATCCCAATGGGGATACGAAACTATCGTAAAGTATGTTTTGGGAATGCGGAAGCCGGTTCTATTTCGTCCGTCTATCTTGCTCGTGAGAGCAAATCGATAGACTCGGTACGACGTCCTCGTGTTCCAAGATACTTCGGCTCTCCCGGATACTTTTCCCGAGCGTATACTTAGTCCCGATCGGCTTGTCGTGGAGATACGAGGAAAAAAATTGTACTATAGTATTCCGTTGTTGCAGCGACTCTAGAGACTCTTGTGACTATTGTAACGGAGTTAATTAACGGAGGTCCATGGTGGTGATTTTTTTTATTTTTATTTTGGATAATCATTCCATGGACCCTATTAGACTGCGTGACACTTGATAAACATACGTCGTGCTCGTGGCGAGTCTTTTTTTTATGTATAAGAACGGTGCCGCTCGTACGAAAGCACATATGTATTTTTAAACAGCCGCCTCAGGAATTCACGGGAGTATCTTCGAAGATACCTAACTTATATACCGAATCTCAATGTGTCGAGGATCGTTAAAGTTGTATCCTCGTTTAGTCTCTTTATATAAAGAGCTTTGAGCTTCTTAAATTATTCATTCCGAGAACGCTTTAGTCTGCGTAAATAAAAATTGTAAATAATTTTTAAGATTAAATGCTAAGGTGCTTTTCATCGTTTCGTATGTATCGCTGCTTGTAGATTGTATCTCTGTATCTTAATGCGTTCGTAAAGTCCTAATTTAGTCTCGTGTAAAAGATAAGAGACGGCTAGTCGCAGGACGTGTCGCGTGAGCGTAGAAAGTTTGAAAAATAATGTGAAAACTCGAGGACCGTAATAACCGTATGGAGAAGCGAGCGAACACATGGAACAGTCCGCGAGCCGCGTTGAGCTTGCAAGACAACGCCGCTGCGCGTTGGCACATCGCAGCCGCGAAGATCCGAGTACCACAGCATCCCGAACCTCGGGCTGTGACCCAGTTTTGAAAAGATTCGGCCGCGATGTATCCGAGATGCTGCGCCGCTTTGTTCTATACCCGGAATCCTCTTTACCAAGGAAGAGGAACGTCGAATAAGTTTACGTACATCTGTCCTGAGCAAGATCATCGTCTCGCGAGCGGAAATGCGACGTGTTCTTAGCGGGTGCGGCAGCTGTTCGGCCGATCCAGAGGTAGTGACAGGAGGAATTATATATATATATACCTAGTGAACCGTCCACGAGGATCGATGAAAATTCATATGAGATATATGCCGAATTTGCTTATTCGTACGAGAAAAGCCATATTTAAGTAGGCCTTTGAAAATTTTGCTTTTCGCTCTCTCGGTGACTAATAACAATTTTACTTTGTTTTTAATTCTGAGCGCTTTACGGATTTGTGTCGCGGATTAAATTCTTCGTCGAACAGCGAGATTAATCGAGAGACTCACGTTTTGCTATGTTAAACTGTGCTTCTCTTTATACTATACGTGCTCTCATTCGGATACGATTGGAGCTATGGCGTTATGAAGTAAGTGTTAGGGAAGATGAAAATAAGAAGAAATATTTAAAGAGCCGGAAGAGGTCAGAGACGGAAAGTGTTCCGGCAGGTTATTTCTCGCTTTTCGTATCGCTTGAGATTCCTTAAACGCAACGATGTGAATTGGTTCTTGCGCTTCGAATACGTCGAGTCACATGAGTATCTCTGTTAAACGTCTCTGTCAACAGTGTACAGTGCGTATTGATAGAAAATAAATATGTGCCAGGACTTTGGCACTGAATTATTTCTATCGCGTGTACCGTAATGCGTTGCAAGGCTTTACTTTCTGTGTCTTGCACTGTGTATATTATTTTAGAACACTCGTCTTCTTCTATAATGTAAAACGTAAACAGATTTTCTCATTTATATGAACGCGCGCATTAAAACGTTCTACGAGGATGAGAGGACCAGTTTGCTCTACAGTCAAATAAGATAAATTGATAATACTCTCAGAATTGAATCCCTACTGTGTAACATCTTGTAGCTGGTTAAGAAGGAAGTAACTACTCGTGTTGGCTTAACAGATTGGTCTGGATTATTTTTCTTTCACTTTATACGAGGATTGGAGATGCATTGAACTTTTGAGCGTTCTGAAAACTGACCACTGAGTTTCTGCGTATACAATTTTCATGACGTTCTTCTCACTCCTTTCTAACTAACGAGCAATATAGTCACAGCCTGCCAGTCACGTGATAAATAATCCGACCTGGTTTTCAAAGTTGAAGGAAACTCGGTATAAACTTTTACATTAAGCTCCAGCGAATTTTTTACTCCGATGAAGTTTAACAAGTAATGTTACGTCATGCGCATACAACGTATACCGTTTAAAATCTCGATTAGTATACAAGGATTAACAAAGTTTGCTTCTATAATTTCAAGTCACGAAAGCGGAAACTCGCTGTGCACTTTTTTTCATAGCAATCGTTTTCACTGTTGCACGTCGTGTAGCCAGCGTCGGAGATCTCGTTCACTTTTGCACTTCCTTATCCGTAACGTGCGTAGAATTAATTAGTCAGACTTAATTTTCATTTGCGAACACGCACTACCTCACTCTGTTTTTTTTTTTTTTTTTTTTTTTTTT